TACTGCCCGTAATCCTCCTCGTCCAGGTACTCGTACGGGTACTCACTGGAGTTGGCACCATCCAGCCAGGGGGCTGTGATTGTTGTTGTCACTGCTGAGGTTGTGTTTGACAAGTGGCTGCCTAAGAGCAAAAGGCAAGGGAAGGGGATCAAAGTGTTTGAATCCACACAGGAAGCAAAGACCACATCATGGATGGTTGTCCTTTAGTTCATAGAATCATAGGATGGTTTGGGTTGGAAGGGACCTTAAAGATCATCTCGTTCCCACCCCCTGCCATGGGCAGGGACACCTTCCACTAGCCCAGGTGGCTCCAAGCCCCATCCAACCTGGCCTTGGACACTTCCAGGGATGGGGCAGCCACAGCCTTTCTGGGCAACCTGTTCCAGTCCCTCACAGCAAAGAATTTCCTCCTAATATGCAATCTAAACCTACCCTCTTTTAGTTTGAATCCATTCCCTTTTGTCCTGTCACTCTGTGATCCTGTAAAAAGTCTCTCTTGGTCTTTCTTGTAGGCTCCCTTCAGGTACTGGAAGTTCAAAGGTTTAAATTTCTGCCACCTTCTGGTAAGTATTTTGTGTCCTACACTCCTTGGCCTTTGTTTAATTGTAAGGACAACTGTCTACACAAAAATTAAAAAAAATAAATTCTGCTTTCCTTACTTGGAAATATAAAACTTGAACGTCAGTGATCACAGACTCCTCTGATATAACCCACTACTTCCTCCTGAGAGGCTTTTGAGGAAGTTTCTGCTCTCAGTTATGGGAAATCCACCCCCACACCTCACTGTGAGCTGCTTATGTTCACCTGGGTCACTACTGAGGAAGGGGCATCTCAGTTCTTGGTGAAGCAGAACCTGCCACCAGCACCTTTGTGTTGGTGTGGCTGTTCCCAGAAGGGAAATTCTGAACATCTCCCTGCTCCTGGTAGGACACTGACCACTCTCTGTGTCAGCCCTAGGACACCAAGACATGGATTCCTGTAAAAAGTATCAGTAAGTGGAAAATACAGAATCAGAGATTCAGAGAATCCCAGAATGGTTTGGGTTGGAAGGGACCTTAAAGACCATCTCATTCCAACCCCCTGGGCAGGGACACCTTCCATTAGAACAGGTTGCTCAAAGACTCATCCAAGGTAAGAACAGGTAGGCACCAGAATCAAGTCCTGAGTCAAGGTCAGAGGTAGAGATTTAGCTGGAAGAATGTTGTTGCAATCGATTCTGCATGAGCCAAGGCGTGACCTGCACTTGGTCACTCCCCAGGACTGGCCTCAGTGTTTAGACAGCTGCAGCCCAGATGTCAGGAAACTATGAGTGATTTGCAGCTTCCTACTTTTGGATTCTGATTTTCAGAATGAAGAACCCACCACGCAAACGAGAACATTACGAGGGTTTCAAAAGAAGAGCCCATCTGCCACGGTGGGAATGGGATCTGCCTGAGCCACCCCCTGTCAGTACCATGAAGGGTAATGTGGAGTTTAAAAATCAAGGCTAATCTCCAAACTCTGAGAGTTTGGCACAGGGGAAAAGTGTAAATACCCTTCCACCCCTAAACCACACATTTTTCCATCCACGGTCAAAGCTGCCTGTCTTTTCCTTGGGGTTCATTTTCCAGCAATCCCAAACAGGCCTGGCTGTGCAGCTCCATGCCTGCAGTTTCTCCTGCAGGACCTGTTTGTCCCATTTCCCAAGAGACCTGGAGCCACTGAGTAATGAGAAAATGAAGCTGTTGGTCCCTGGTTGTCCTCCCAAGGAGGACATATCCCATGGTGGCTCTGCAACTCCTAGGGATGGCTCCCTCCCCACAAACACCCTGGAAAAGTGGAGCCCCTCCACCCCACAGGGATTAAGGAAAGCTCCCAAAGCTCGGAGTGGGGTGCTGAGGATGCCTGTGGATGTGCAGCTGCAAGGGGTGAAGCTCTGGACGTACCTGCTGTGGTCCCATGCCTAAAATTGCTTAAATACCCATTCCAGGCAATTCCAGGCAGCTGAAAAGAAAATAAAAAGTGATTTGAGCTGTGTTGAAATGTTTTCTTGCTGTCTCGCAGCTCTTTGGCAAGTGCTGCAGGGCACTTCAGACAGAGCAGTGATGGAGAGCAGGGATCTGCCAAGGCAGAGTGTTTGTCTGGGATTGGTTTGGGAATGAGTTTTTCAAAATTTCTTTCCTGTATCATATTTTGGAAGAAACTCACCCCCAGCCATATATAGCTGTGACTCTACCACATTCCTCACTGAGAGGAAACCAAAGCTGTCCATCGTGCTGATCAAAGCAACAACCAACAAGAGTCCGAAATACCCAAAATACCCTTCCCCTCACACCCTCTGTGCCCATATCAGGACAAGCCACTCCCAAATTTTACATTTCTGGGTCTCTTCCAGCCTTTTCTCCCTCTGCCACATCTTTCTTCCTCCATATCAGCCTGGCACTGACATCCACTCCCCCATCCCATAGCTCAGAGCGGAGAACTGGTGAACACAATGTGGACTTAGCTCAGAAACTAATCCCAATCCCAAACTGGCCACCTATCAAAGAGAAAGGAGAACCTCCCCAGGTTTCCTGCACAGCTTTGTCCACAAGCAAGAAGCAGAAAATGCACTTACAGGAGTTTCTTCCCCTGTTTTCATCCTGCTGAATGCTCGAATCGGGCTTTTAGGAATCTCTTTCACTTGTGTAACAGTAAGTGGGCAGGAAATATACACTCCCTGGTTTTGTTTTTGCTTTTCCTGGTGTTGGTCAAGGATGACAGCAGTGGATAAACGGTCTCCACCCTGTCTGAACACGTGCTGAGACCTTGTTGTAGAAATCTGCATGTTTTCCAGGAAATCTGATTAACTCATGTGCTCTTTGGATGCAGCAGGATCCTCAACCCCTGCAAGAGCAGAAAGGGCTTCTGCCAAAGGTGTTTGTTGGAGAAATTTTTGACAGAAAAGTTTTTTGACAGAAAGGTTTTTTACAGAAGTTTCTGACACCTGGACAGAAGAAATCTCAGTCAAAATGGTTTATTGGAGAAGTTTCAGAATATCACTGTTGGTGAGTGGTCACCTTCCTGCTTGTTTCCTCATCTCACCACCAAGCAGGGCCATGGGAACACCCTTACTGTGCCAAAGCTTTCCCTGTGCCAATCCTGGTGTGTTTTATACTCCCCAAACCACCCTGGTAAAAGTAGGAGGGTAGAGCAGCAGTGATGACCACAGCTTTGCATCCAACCTGCCCCTTGTTAAGTGGATTGACAGAGAGAAATACATTATTTTTACCCATTTTTATGTTTGCCACCATCAGCTGCTGCAGTTAAATATACCACATAATAATATATATATTTATATAACAAATACATATGTGCAAAACAGACATCAGCAGGGAGCAAGAACCACTCACAGAGCCCAGACACTGGACATACACAGAGAGATGCTGCAAGTGACAGAGGTTTCATTAGCCCAGCAATGAAAATGAAATAAGTTTTTGGTTTTAATTGAGTTTCTGCCCTGAAGCAGGGAGTCAAATGTGCCTCTGAGAGTCACTGGAGAAAGTAGCCTTTGCTGTAATTTATTACAAGATTTTAACTCAATTTGTGGGCTGATAATTGCATAGATTTTTTTTTGTTTCCTTTGACTGCAGAGCCCTAATGGCTTTGGTAATTGAAGTAACAAGATTAGGGGTAATGGGAAGCATATTTAGAGAGATGCAGCTGGAACAAATGGTTGTCTGAGCCACTTTCTCTCACGCTGCCCAAAATGCCTCGTGTGGGTGCAGTGGTGACCCTGACTCTGCTTCCCCCTGCTTGGAGATGGAGAGGCACAAACACCACACTGCAAAACTGGGCTTATGGAGAAAAGGACTTTCCTTGCTGTTTTGCCCTGATGAGCTGCCCTCAGGTTTAGGGGAGGATTTTAGGCATCTCCAGGATCCCAGTGGATTTTTCCTTCTGCTCCAGAGAACGGTTTGCTTTGAGGCAGGACCAGCTTCTGGATTAACTCTGGGCTTCCAAATCCACTGTCTGGCACACAGCAGGTGTAAGGCAAGCTCTGCTTGAAAGCTGAAATTTGGGAAAACATAATGAGACAATCAGGAGGGAAAGGCAGAGAAGCTGTGGCTGCCCCATCCCTGGAAGTGTCCAAGGCCAGGTTGGACAGGGCTTGGAGCAACCTGGGCTAGTGGAAGGTGTCCCTGCCCATGGCAGAGGGTTGGAATCAGATGATCTAACTCAAAATATAACCTGGGATTCTCAGATTCTGTGAAAATTGAGCTCTGACTTTGCCCTTTGCTGAAGAGCTTCCACCTGATGTCATAGAATCCCAGGATGGTTTGGGTTGGAAGTGATCTTAAACCCCATCCAGTCCCACCTCCCTACCATGGGCAGGGACACCTTCCACCAGCCCAGGTTGCTCCAAGCCCTGTCCAACCTGGCCTTGGGCACATCCAGGGATGGAGCAGCCACAGCTTCTCTGGGCAACCTGTGCCAGGGCCTCCCCACCCTCACAGGGAAGAATTCCTTCCCAGTATCCCATCTAACCCTGCACTCTGGTAGTTTGAAGCCATTTCCCCTTGCCCCGTCCTTCCAGGCTATTGTACTGACTCGATGTCACAGTGAGGGTTTATAACACCGACAGAGAAAGTTTCTGGTGTGTCAAGCTGACAAGTTGCAAAGACGTCACTGGCTGTTTATTCACCCTGTTTAGGACGGGCTAACCCCCGTTCCGAGGTGACCCGAGTGCCCCGTCCACCCCCGGCCGTGCCCTCCCCTCACCCCCCGCACCCCCTCGGCTCCGTGAGGGGCCGCCCCGGGCCCCTCAGCGCCCCCTGCCGGCGGCCGCGCCCCCCGCCACTGCGCCGCACTGCGGAGCGCCCCGCGTGACGTCACGGCCGGCCCCGCCCCCCGACTCATATAAGGCAGCGGTGGCGGCGGCCGCGCCACTGATTGGCCGGCGGCGGGCGCGCGCCCGCGCGGAGCGCTGGGAGTTGTGGTCCCGGCGGGGGGGCGGGGCCGGGCCGGCCTATAAGAAGCGGGGGCGGGGCCTGGCGCGGCAGACGCGGCCGGTGCGGGGGAGCGCGGAGACCGCGGTGAGCAGAGGGCTGGGGGGGGACGGGGACACAGGCGGGACATCTGAGGTACATCCAGGGGCAGGGGCACGGAGGAGGATGAGGGGGCTTAGGGCTGGAGCGGGGAAGGGTCCTCGCGTGGGGTCCGGGAACCTGCGGCTGCCGTGGGGAACGGTCCCTGTGTGGGGCCGGGCGGGGGCCTGGGGCTGGACTGGAACAGGGTCCCCGTGCGGGGAGCTGGAGCTGGAGTAGGGCAGAGGATCGGAGTGGGGTAAATGTGCCTGGGGCTGGAGTGGGGTACCCTGTACCGGTGTGGGGTGTGGGGACCTGGGGCTGGAGTGGGGAAGGGTCTCCGCGTGGGTGGCAGGGCCTGGGGCTGGAGCGGTGTACCCTGTGCCCGTGTGGGGTGCAGGGACCTGGGGCTGGAGTGGGACAGCGTCTCCATGTGGGGCTGGAGAGGGGGAAGGCAGCCTGGTGGTGCCCAAGGCCGCCGTCTTGCCGGGAGGGATGCTGGGACCTGTCACCTTCCCACCCATGTGCCTCCCTCCGTGGGTGACACCTCTCGCAGAGGGATCCTGTCACCTTCCCACCCGTGTTCCTCCCGCTGTGGGTGACACCTGTCACACACACCTCACTGTTGGGTGTTGGCAAGGTCAGGGCAGTCAGGGTGTGTGTTTTACAGTTTCCTCTGCCCCGGGCCCACCCCGGTGCGAGCTGAAGGTCGTGGAAACCTCTCGGGGTGGATGAATTGATTCACTTTCAATACACTTTTCTTGTGTAAATCCCACCCCTGGCTGTCTCCCCCTCTCCAGAGTGACCGAGTGCTCCCGTTTCCTTCTCCAAATGAGTCAGGCTAAAATTATAACTCTCATTTAGGAAAACAGGGTGGTTGTAGCAGGCGCAGAGAGATTAAATCCTTTGGCCTGGCAGAGGAAATGGTCTGAGCCTTTAGTTTGAGAACCAGTCAGTCTGCTCACATGGGTGTGCAGGAAATGCTGCGTAACCAGGGAGTGCAGCCACCTTTGAAATGTCTCTTTTGCCGATGGTTTCTGGCCCCTGCTTAAATGAAATTCCCGGTAGTTTATTCTGAGAGCTTGGAGTCCTTCCCTGTGCCCCTGAGCTGTGTTTTGCTGTGGAGTGTGTTGGTGGTCAAAACTGGAGCAGTAACAGTGGAGACTTTTCTAGCAGAGGCCTCTGTGGTGTCGCTGGACAGAAATCATCATTCACTGAATGGTGTTTATGCTGACCACTGAGGAGGGAACAGGTCTGGGTGTAATCCATGTAATTCCCAGCACAAAAAGCTGGGAATTTTTGAAGGATGATCTCACTGGTTTGGTGATGATGGTTCTGCGAGTGGAGCCTTTCTCAGGGCTGTCGCTGATTTTTGTTTTCCTGGGAGGCAGGTGAGAAATCACCTGTGCATGATTTTTCCTCCTGATGTGTCCCCCCATGAGTCTGCATCTATGGAGGGCTCCAGGACTTGCTCCAGCTCCTCAGGGGTGGCTGTTGTACATCCCTATGTTCTCCAGGAATCTGGAGTTACACTGAGGTGGAATAGGTAGCTGAGAAGCTGCCGGGCAGGGCTGACCTTGTGCAGCAGCTCCCTGTGGTTGCTGTTCTTGGCAGGGAGTGAGAGGGGAGATGTGAACTTTGCTGAGGTCAGAGCTGCCATAAAGGAGCAGCCTGCGAAAGCCAAGTGGTGTGGCATGGAATTCCTAAAAGGAAAGGTGGGCAGTGGCCCAAGCTTTCTGTGGCTTCTCGCTGCCTGTGAGCATGGGGGGGCCACAGGAATCTGTAAAGGTGTGGAAATGAGTGGCAGAAATCTGTTGCTTCCCTATTTTTTTTTTTTCTGTCCTATTCTTTCCTCTCCTGTTAAGTAACAATCCTGCTTCCCAAGGCTTCACTTGAATTAAATCACCTGTCCATAGCTCCTGTGCTTGTATCTCACTACCTGGATAGTTGTGATTGGGGGAATCCGCAAGGGATTTTCTTTCCCCAAAGATTCTCTTAATTTGGGGTTTCTAAAACCTGAAGGGAGGCTCTTTGTCTTCACAGCCACCATGTCACCCAGGCAGGAATCTGTTTATCCTGAGTATGAGACTGACAGCAGCCAGACCTCGAGGCTGATAAGGAAGTTTAAGGAGACGCCGTTTGTGCCCATTGGTGAGTTTAAAGATGGGGGAAATGTGTTTGCACAGACTGGGGAAATGTGTTTGCACAGACCTTTCTCTTCACAGGCAGTCAATGAGGTGTCAACACCATCACTGTTCACCTTCCTCCTGTGAGCAGGAAATTACTGGGAAATTACTTCCGCATTTGGGCTTGGTGATAGCAGTAATCCTTCTGCCTGGAGTGGTATTTGTCCTGCAAGAAAGAGGGAAATTATTGAGGTCTGTCACCTTAAATAAAAAACTCAAGACTTAAAAGAAAAAAACCCCAAACCAACAAACCCTGAAATGTTTAGGTGAGCTTAGAAAATGTGTTTAAGCCATGCTGTCTGGTAAGGAATGTTGAGCAGGGTTCTGGGAATTATGTGATCACTACAAAGTGGCTTTAGAGCTAACAAAATACAAACTGGAAGGATTTAAATTACAGCCAGTTTGCTAAACATTTCACCCCTCTGCTGCCGCTCCTTAGTTTAAAATGCATTCTTTTAGTAGTTTTTATGTTACCCCAGCTTGAAGAGCTTGTAGAGTTCTCAGCCTCTCTGCTGAGAGCCCCTGAAGCTGCTGAGGAGAGCAGGGATGGGTCGTATTCATCCTGAGAGATTTTCCCTGACACCAGACACGTTTTGATTTCCAGCCTCCTTAAATGGAGAGCAGTTGGGTCACTTGGGGTGAACTGTTCCAAGTGTTTGCCAGCAGATATCTGTCACTGGTTCCTGAGGTCACAGGACTTTGTCTCCACCTTGCTCAGGCGTACTGTGAACTCCACGAGTTCAGGTTCCCCGAAACAGATTGGCAGAACTCACCTTTGATCTGTGTCAGAGCTGGGTTGGAGGCCCTAAAACTCTTAATTGGCGTTTAATGAAGGTACCACGTGAATTAAGGGCTTATGGCTTCCTAGTGGAACTGGTAAGACTCCAGGCTCAGGGAGACAAACTGCTTGTGCTCCTGTGAGTAAAATATACACAGCACTTAAAACTCAGCAGCCACCTTTGAACTGTGTAAATAATCGTCCTAAAAATGGAATGAAATGGATGGAATTGGAGAAGTTTGTGCATTCTGTGAGAGCATCGGGGTGCAGTGGTCGGAGCTGGCAAAGCCGGCGCCGTTTGCTCTCTTGTAGGACTGTCAGTGAACTCTGTCCCTGGGAAAGGGCCCTTGCTGAGCCTACCTCCTCAGAGCTTGGGGACAGCAGCATGTGACTTGTCCTGTCCCGGTGGCACCTGGCCAAATGTGACAACACCCAAAATAGCAGCCTCAGCAGGCGGGCGGGTACGTCAGGGAGCATCCCACACTGAGGGTCCAGCAGCAGCTGAGTGGGATTGTTGGGTGAGAGCTTCCATCCAGGAAAGGGGGTGCAAGGAGCCCTGGCTCTGTCTGAAAAATATCCAAGGAATTCTGACACTTTGACCTGCTCTCTTGACCTTTTAATGCTGGTGGAAATCTCTTGCTCTTCCCTGCACTGACTTGTACATTGAATGAGGTAGCACTGGAGTGGAAACAGGAGGTGGGCCAGGACTTGCCACTGCACACACAAAACCAGAGGGAAACGTGCTTATTTTAGGATGAGAGGCTCAAGTTGTGCCAGGGGAGGTTTAGATTGGATGTTAGAAAAAATTTCTTCACAAAAAGGGTTGTCAAGTGCTGGCACAGGGTGCCCAGGGCAGTGGTGGAGGGATTTAAAAGCCATTTAAAAGCCATGTGGATGTGGCACTTGGGGACTTGGATTAGTGGTGGCCTTGTGCTGGGGAGCAGTTGGACTCGATGATGTTAAAAGGGTCTCTTCCAACCTAAAGGATTGTATGATTCCCAGGATATTTTGTTTAGGTGGGTCCCCTCCCTCCTCCGGATGCCCTGGATCTCCCCTCAGCAGGATGCTCTCCTTGCCTTGCAGGGATGGCTGGATTTGCTGCCGTGGTTGGATACGGGCTGTACAGGCTGAAGCACAGAGGTGACATGAAAATGTCACTTCACCTGATCCACATGAGAGTGGCAGCCCAGGGCTTCGTCGTGGGAGCCATAACGTGTGGTATGTACGGAACGGGAGCTGTCCTGGCAAGTGGCAAAAACCACAGAGAGCCTCTTGGATAACACAGTGTGTGTGACATATCCTCGGGGTGGGAGTATCCAGAACATTTGTTCCTGGTGTTTACTCAGCCCTTCTGGAGTTATCTGGTGTTTAAGTACAAGTATTGAATGTTAAACTGCACTGACCTTGAGAGTAGGAGTTTTGAATACTTCTGGATGTGGCACGTGAAGTTCTGCAAATGTGGAAATTAGAGGCAAAGAAAAAAAAAAAAACACTTACCTGGCATTAATATTTTCCCCTGTTGCTGTTTCTGAATTTAATGCATTAGAAAATCAGCTTGTGTAGCCTCTGAAATTAGAGGCAAAGAAAAAACCCACTTACCTGGCCACGAGTATTTTCCCCTCTTGCTGTTTCTGAATTTAATGCATTGGAAAATCAGTTTGCATGGCCTGTGATATTATATATATATATATATTACATACATAGTATGTGTATCTATATCTCTATATATGTATATATTTTCAGGACTGGAACTGTGTCCCTGAACGTCCTGAGTGATTTGTACATCCCAGGTCTCATCTAAGCCTTGCAGCTGTGTACGTGTGTTTATTGTGTATCCCATCAGACACTGTTTCTCCTACTGTATTCCCAGGAGGTACAAGAGGAAGGCTTGACTTTGGCTGCAGAGCAAACCAGAGTTGGGTTGGGATCAGCATTTTGATACACAGTATATTTTCACAGCCAGGTTCTCTGTACACGAAGAGCTTTGTAGCCATCACTGCTATTAGAAAAATGCAGCAGAAGAGGAAGGAAAACATTATTTCTCCTGCTGAGAATTCCTCTTTCCGTCCAGATTTTTAACCCTGTTGTTTCCTGTTTCACCCAGCTCTCCAACTGTGCTTTTTTTTCCCCTCTCTTGTAGGTGTGCTGTATTCCATGTTCCGGGAATATGTGGTGAAGCCCAAGGAATAATGGAGAGTTTGGCTGAAGGCTCTGTCCTGGTGGTGGCCTGTGCACTGCAGCTCCAAACCTCATACCAAGGGTTTCTTGAGCAAAAACAAAATTACACATGGCATTAGAGAATTGTTCTACTTGTGTATGGTACACTGTGCTGAAGGCTTAAATGATTGTGCACTGGGGGAGTGGGTATTGGGGTCTGGTTCTCTCTGATTGACACCACCACATCCCAGTTTTTAGGGGATATAGTGGAGTACAATCCCTTTATCTTACCCTTCAACTCAATCCAAAAATTGGTGACTTCCTTGGCTGTCGTTGCCCAAAACCACAAAGTCTGAATTGGCTTCTGTCAGAGAGTGTCAGGAGTGCCCTGCTGTCATTTTTTATCCTCTGCCTCCAACTTTGTAATTTAGAAGCTTCCAGTAGCACTAAATGACTTCTAAAATATTGAGAGAGATATATAAACATCTATTTTTTTTATTTAAGGCATGAGATAAGTACTTGGTATGTTGCAGCTATTTAAATGTTATATTTATTCATTGTTAACGAAGACACGAGCTCCCTATTTTTGCTATATCAGACCCTGGGATTACTATATTTTGTAACTTTTATTTACAGTGTTCTTCTGAATAACATCTAAATGTAACATTTAAAATACATATTGTGAAAACTAAGCCTTGATTTGGTGTCCTAATGCTTTTAAAGTGTTTGACCCAGCTCTGGTTTCTGCAGTGTTGTTGCCCACAGAAAATGTAAAACATTTAAATCTGAAAAGCCCCCCTCACCACCTTTGAGGTGTTAAAACCCTTCCCTGCAAGTTATTTTACACTCAAGCCCCTTGTGCCTCCAACAGCAGTCACAAAAATAAAAGCCAATTTGTAAAAAACCCCTCATTTTCTCCTGTTAGCTTACATTCCATGGTGGCAGTATCAGATGTTACAGCTGTCTCTGTAAGAAACAGCACAAGGTACAAACTGCACCTGTCCGTGACATGTTGTACAGAGCAGTGGGGGGCTTAATACGAATAAAAGTGAGCCCTGGAGATAACAAGTGTTTGCCTATGGATTTGTTGGGGGGAACATTCATCCCGTTCTAGAGGGATGGCGTGAGCTGCTCTACGTGTATAAAAATGACCTGAGGGAGTGCAGCGCTGCTGGAAAGAACATTCCCAGCCGGTGCTGTCCTTGATTCCCATTTCCTACAGTCCCGCTGCCCTTGACTGCTCCCACACGGATGGAGATGGGAAGGACGCCGGGTTCGCGCTGACGCCTTTTCCTGTTCCTGCCGCCCTCCTCCTCACCGCGGGGCGGGAGAAGGAGCGGATCCCTTTTCCCGTCACGCCGAGGGGCCGGGACTGGTGCGGGAATTACGGGAACTGCGATATCGGGATGGCGGTGACGGGAGGGGAGCGGGGCGGGACCATCATGGCGGGACCAACATGGCGGCCGCGCTGAGGGGACGGGCGCATGCGCGCGAGCCTCCCCGTTGCCATGGGAACCGCGTCGGGCCGGGATCGGGACCGGGACAGGCCGCGGGATCGGGAGCCGCATCCCCGGTCCCGGCGCTGCCCAGGAGGGAAGGGGCAGACAGTGGAGGGCTCTCGCGGTGCCCTCGGGGCCGGGAAAGGCGGTTCGGGTATGACAGGGGCGGGGGTGCTGGAAGAGGGGGTAGCCGGCCTGGGGTGGGCGGGCAGCGCGGCGCTGCCAGGTCCCGCCAGCTCCTGCCAGGTCCTGCCAGGTCACAGGGCGAGGCGGGGCGGTCACAGTTACAATTGTAGGGTTACAATTGCGATTTTCAAACTAAACCACATGAAGTTCCGCCTCAAAAAAGAGGAAGAACTTTACGCGGAGGGTGGCAGAGCCCTGGAACAGCTGCCCAGGGAGGGCGTGGAGTCTCTGGAGACATCCCGGTCCCACCTGGGCGCGTTCCTGTATCACCTGCTCCAGGTGACCCTGTTTTGGGAGGGGGTTGGACTGGATGATCTCCAGAGGTCCCTTCAAACCCCAAATATTCCGGGGTTCTGTGAGGAGAGGGAAGTTTGCTCTCTGGACAGCAGAGCCCTCTGTGCCAGGCTTGGAGTCGGTATCCAGGTAGGAAGGGTAAAGGTTGCTCCCAAACCATCAGATAAAGAAGAAACGGCCTCAAGGTGCACCAGGGGCGGTTTAGATTGGATATTAGGGAATATTTCTTCACCAAAAGAGGCACTGGAACAGTCTGCCCGGGGAAGTGGTGGAATCACCATCCCTGGAAGTGTTCAAAAAACACGTGGAAATGCCACCTGGGGACATGGTTTAGTGGTGATCTCAAGGATGGTGCTGGATTAATGGTTGGGCTCGATGATCTTAGGGGGCTTTTCCACCGTAATGTTGTGTGAAATAGCTGTACCTTGAGTACTCTGCACACTTCTGGCCTACAGATAATTCCTTAATTAATCAATCAATTAATAATGTAGTGCAAGTGGTAAAGAAATTTCTGAGAATAATTATAAAGATGATTTAAGGTCTAAAATAGCTACTCTGCTAAGAATTCTAGGATATTTTCAGAACAGAGACAACTACTGGTTGAAGATGTTTTTGCTTATCTTTAATATCTATAAGGTCGGTGGCTAAATCTATCAAATTTAGTGAGGTCTAATATAATTGTAAAGTTTAAAAAAAAAAAAAAAAAACAAAAACACAAAAAAAGCCAAAAGGACACTGAAACCAGAAAGGCTGTCTAAATTTTGTATGCAGTGTCCTTAAGTAAATGGACTCCTTATCTCCAGAGGCTTTTTCCAAATCACAGGACTGACCTTAATCAATTAAAATCAATTAAAATCAATGTTTGCACAATTCTTCGAGCCCCCATACCCAGAGCCCTGTGGGCTGTGCAGAGGCACTGGACTGTGCTTTTTGCACTTGTCAGTCCTTAGTGCACCTTCTCCAGTGGGTCTCAGCCCATAAGATATACACAAGCACAGGGGTGCATGTGGGCAATTAATCAGTGCGTTAATTAGTCAGTGCAGGGTGTGCCTTTGGAAGTTGGTTTTCCCAGACCAAAGGTGCACAAGGGTTTTTTTGCTGGCAGCAAATGTCAAACAGAAGGAGAAGGGGCTGGAATACGTCAGAGAGCTTGTTGTGTTTAGTCATCCTAAGGAAAGCTTTGGGGAGCAATATTATCACTTTAATGTTATCACTCAGTGCTTAGAAATTTGGGGGAAAGGTGTAAACCACAGTCTTGGTGGCTAGGGCCTAAAGGGAGCAAAAAACCCACCCAAAAATGGGGGGATTTGCACCTTTCCTGAATATGGGAAGCCCTTTAGTCAAGGAGGGCTGGATGACCCCAAACAGTCCACGTTCCTTTTAGCCACGTTGCCACACTCGCTTGGATTTGGCCCCAACCTGCTCTTCTGTAAAAATATTTATTCAAACAGATCTGTTTAAGAACATTTTGAAGCACTGAATTCTGGAGTGAAAAAGACCTGCCTGTTTAAAAGCCATTTAAGGAGAAAGGTGCTTGAAGCAGGGCCGTGGGGCTGGAGAGGAGGAGGAGGTGGTGGGAGGCTCTGCAGAGGTCAGTGAGGAAAAGCTGCAAAGCAGCTGCCAGAAGAGGATGTTTTTCAAAGCAATGCTGATCTCTGCTCTCTGTCACTTTTTATTTCGTTATGCTTTTAGTAAACAATGGAGTCAGACATAAAAGTGAACCAGGATTCTAAAAGCCAGTTTAAGGCTTATCAGAAGCAACAGCAGAGGCGGCTGCAAAATGTGATGGAGAGGAAGAAGGAAAAGCAGAACAGTCAGAAGGATAATGGCAACACAAGGGAGACTTTAAAAACCCCAGATGATCTAAACCTGTTTGAAGTAGGACAACCTGTAAATGAAGATGGCAGCAAAAGGTAAAGGTGTAGCAGGACCATTCCTTCAGGAAGCCACAGAAGTATGTTTGGCTCGTGATCTTATGAAACTCAGTATTATTAAGCTGATAGGGCACTTTCTGCCTTCACATCTTGGGCTTTCATTATCCTGAGAAGACTCTCCCTGTCCCTAACATGTTTAGGGACATAATCACAATAATGCCTCAGGGCATTGTGATTATTTATTGTCACTTATAATCAGTGTTTCACAAATGAAGGGTGCAAGGACAGAGGGGGTGAGGGTGACATGTGAGGGGCAGCCAGGTTCTATCTGACAAAATCCAGTCATTTGGGGTCACTGAAACCCTCTGCACTGTTGGTTAGGTCCTGCCTAACCTTTAAGCAAACAGGTTCCCTACATGAGGAATTTCTGAAGATGGATGTAGGCAAAGCAGCAAATGGGAGTAAGCCAAAGGCCTGCAGTGCAGGAAAGTGTTCCCCAGGCTATCTTTGCAATATATCCTGATTCAGAGGATCACAAGATTCCCAGGACATTGGGCATTCTGGTGTGGATCTCCCTCAATCTTGGATGTTGAGGTTTTTTTGAGCTGAGTACATTATTCAATTTACTGAAGCAGAGATCTGAAAACCCTGCTCAGATCATTTCTCTTCCTCCCAGGAAGGGAACCCAGGAGTGAACCACTGAACCTTTCAGGTGCTTGTGGGAATGTGTTGTTTGTGCTGCAAAGGAAATCTGAGTGGAAACAGGGAGCTGAGCTTCTAGAAATTAATGTTCTCACCATTGCATCATTGTCTTCTTCACACACTGGTCCCTCAGCAGGGCTGTCTGATTTGCCAGGTTGTGCTCCTGATCTGACCTCTACCAGCTGTCCTCTTCCCTTCAACATTTTGTCCTGATACTCTTCAGAAGATTATGATGGAGATCTGATTTTTTTAAAGCTTTTTGGGAGACTGATTCCCATAGTTCAGATATTTGTCTGGTGAAGGAAAGGGGTTTGGGTGCTCCCACAGGACACCCTGTACAACGTGCATCCTCTGAGGTGCAGAGTACAGGAGAGCCCCAGCAGTTCTCTGCTATTTACAGGTCAGTAGTTTGAGCCTGAGTAATCCCAGAGTTATCATTTACCTCTGTTTCGGTGGCACTGGCTGTTAAAAGTCCCCATTTGACACAGCAGATTTATCTATATTGCCCTTTGCTTATGTACATCAGCATTTAGCAGAAGAGTGGTTATGAGTGTATCAAATCCAGACAGGATTTGCTTCTGGAAGGGATTCACCAGGATGTGCTTTGCAGTATTCCCATGAGAACACATTACAAACTTGTTCCAGAGGAGCAGGACTCCATATGGGCTGCAGTGACAGTGATTTTGGCCTGTCAGTGTTGTTTATAGCAGCACTTGGAAAACATTCTCCCCTCAGAAGTCTGCCTCCCTCTGAGCCTTGCAAGTTCATTTTTCCTTCCTCCCATCCTACTCCCAAATCTTGTTTAAAGGAGTATTTAGCTGACAGTTCTTCCCTTCTGATTTGTTCTCTCTGTAACTTTTTCCTCCCTGCTCTGTTCGGTGCTTTTGAGTGTGCTTAAGTGACACTCCCCATCACATGGAGAATCTGTAATAAGATTTGGGAAAGACACAGTTTAACAAAAGTTAAATTCCTTATTCAGGGTAATTTTTTTTTTTTTTTTTGCCTAAATGGTGCACACAAGTTGGGAAATCACCTGAATTCCTGCTCACAAGCTTCACCTGCCTCTGTTTCCTTGAACTAAGTGAAAAGGGTCACCTTTTGCAGCCTGTTTCTTTTGGCTGATTTTCTGCAGCTGAGGCACTTGGGTGGAATCTGCTGCCCCCTCTGTAACATGTAGGGTCACTCTGGGATGGAGTGGGAAGTTTCTCAGAGGAGACTCCAGCTCAGTGCAGTTGGGATTTCTGTGCTTTTCCTCAAGACTTGGAAGCCAGCTCTGAGGAGGACATCCCTGATCAGGTGTGTTAAGAGCTTAGAACTTTCCTTTCATGTTAATCCCATAACTGTTAAAAATCCCTTTGTCCCCGTGTCTCTAATTGGATCTGAGTTCTGTTGCTGGCTTCTGTGAGTGGTACATGTGGGAATAACTTAGTTGTGCCATTTCTCAGCTCACATTGCTGCCTGCTTTCTTCTCCTTTGTAAACAGCTGCCTTTGATCTCCCTTTGATTTGAAGCTTTGAAACAGAAGTGCATCTCTTAATTACGGATTGTGAATCCTCTCCTGGACTGACTGTGCTGTTTATGGCAGTGCTTTAAGGGGTCATTTATTCCAACAAGTGCATTTGGAGGGTGCATTTGAAAGCTCTCGAGTCCAGTGGGTGCAAAAGGCTTGCTAAAACTTTGGAATAGAAAAGATTGAGGTGATTATTGAGATATCTTGCCTGGCTGTGGCTGTGTCTGCACATACCTACTGTAACAACTGAGCTTTATCCAAATCAGATCTCCAAACTATAGAGGTTCAGGGTTACACTGTAAATAATTAAAATCTAGGGGTCAATTCATGCAGCTGATTTAGATGTCTGATGATACCTGAGATGCTGCAGAGCATTGGGGATTTCCACATGGGAATCATAGATTCCTGCAGCAGCTGGAGCAAGTGGGGAGCCCAAATGGCACCTGTGTGGGGGTAACTGAATTGAGTCCCAGGTTTTCTCAAGGACCCTGTGTCAGGGAGATTTGATAATCCTGAATTCCCACAGTGGAACTGAGCCCCTGAGGCCACAGCTCCTAGATTTTATATTTGGAGGACCCATCACATAAGGGCAGCAAAGAGATTTAAAGTTATTAATTCTCTGGATGTCTTGGAGAGATGAACCCCTTAAATGTTGCCAGCTGTACTGAAGAATAGGAGAAGCAAGGCTGTTTCTTCCCATTCAGAGGCTTTTGTGATGTTCTGTGTTTCCAAATGAATTCCAAAAAGCACCATTAACAATACAAACTGATGCCAGTCTGTGCTGGTGGGGTTCCAAGAGAATCAGGTGAGGACACAGGAAATTGGTCTTTTATGAATTCCTCTAAAACATTCATTATTAAAGAAAGGACCCCAGGAGCAGCTTTTGTAGTCGATGCTCTGTTGGATTCTGTTGGCTTTGTTAAGCATAGAAAATAAAGCCTGAATGTCCCACATGCTGAATGCTGAGCTGCCTGATTCCCTCTGAAGAACCAGGTGAGTGAGACTGAGATGACACTGTTTGGTAACCTCAAGAGCACTGAAAATGTACCTGCTCTGTGATGTTTTGCCCCAGACTACACAAGAAAGTGCAGAACTTTTTAAGAAGGAGTTAACTGGATAGATCAGATCATCAGCTTGTGTTCTTGTGTAAGTTTTAGGATATTCTGCTTAATTCAGTAAACTCACTTCTGATAAGCTCAGCTCATCTGTCATACAGTCAGTTCATTGCTTTATTTTTGGGAGTATTTGAAGCACATCACAGTGAGATTTGCCATTATGGCTTCTTTTTTCCCAGGTTTCTCGAGGCTGGGAACGAGCAGCTGCAGGATCAGCTTCGAGAGGTCCGAGATGAGAACTGCAGATTGTACAAACTGGTGACAGAGAAAGATTTTGAAATAAAGCAACTCCAGAAGAAAGTCCAGGAGGACAGGTTGGCTTTGGCTGGTAAAGACAGTAACTTCATATTCTTACCACCTCTGTTGGATGCTGATGGCAGCAAAATGTCCCTTAAAAGAAATATGGTGCTCTTTTAGGGTACACAGTGATCTCTGTTCCCCACAGATCTGCAAACTTGTTATTGGCCCAAAAAGGTGATGTTTTGTAGAAATCATATTTTGGAAAACTTTCTGTTGATGTCAAAGAGCTGTGTCACAGCTTTCTCTGCTGCGTAGAGTTAAATTCCCTATTCAGGCTCCTTTTTTTTTTTTTGCGCCTGAACAGGGCACATGCATGGTTCAAAATCCTGCTTATAAGTGGCTTGAGTGTCCTTGGAAAACTGAACTGTGCAGGCTGCACCTCCTCCACTGGGTGCCACTGTTGGTCAGGACAGTAGTGATGACCAGGCTGCTTGAGAAGGGGGAAACCAGCAACAAACAGAGCTACACAACATTAAATTACATCTTATTTCTTAAAAACTCCCTGTAGTTTGTCCTTAGGATGGATGATAAGCTATTCCTGGTCAGGACCAGGAGCCAGATATGCTGTTGCAGCTTCTCTGACTGACTAATGCCAACCTTATTTGCACTGTTGCAAGGGGCTCCCCCATGTTGCTTGGGAATGAAAAGCTTTGATTAAATGTGTGCAATGAATTTGGAGACCATCACAATGAAGCCCCAGCCTGGCTTTGGTAAGTTTACTACTCACTGTGGTCCTAAACAGCCATTATTTGCCATCAAAACTAAGGTAAAAGTAGCTCCTACATGAGAGGAGGAGCACAAATCACATGAAGGAGTAAGAACGGTGGAAATGCTTTTAAATGCTTTTTTAAAAGCATTTCAAATGCTTTTAAAATAAATGCTTTTAAAAAACTAAATTCATGCTCTTTACAAAGTTTTTAGTAGTGATATTCTGTTCTCAGCAATATTCTGTGTAGCCCCTTTGATGTCTCTGTAGTTACATGGCACTCAGAATTCACTAAAGAGTGATCTGTCCTTCATCTCACCCCATTTCTTGGGCAGAAAAGTCATTTCTTCAGAGCACTGAAGGAGGATGAAAGAGTTAAAAGGAATGGCAGCAGCCAGGTTCAGCCCTCACAGGCCCCACCAAGGATTTGTCATTGCAGGCTCACAGTCATTGCTGAGCTGGAGGTTCCTGTGGACATTGTTTGCAATTATATTGATTTTGCACTTGCACAAGAGCTTTCCTTCACCTGTGTGATGTGAAAGCCAAGTGGCACTAAACAGCCAGTGCTGGGGTTTGCTTTATTTGTGACACTGATCCCAAAGCCTCTGTGAGGAGGGAGAGAATGACGTGTGTGTTTAAGAGAGCAATTAAAGGAATAATACAGTCAGGCTCCAGGGATAATCACAGGGGACATATAAATAGGCACAATAAAATTTCCTGGACGTTCTCCAGGACCCAGCTGTAATATTGTGCCTGACCTTTGGGGACAGATGTCTAGAAAATGTTCACACCTCTGTTTCAGCAACTCCTCCTGTAATAAACAACCAGGCAAAGGAGAGTGTTGTCTTCTTCTGTGATATTCCAAAAAAATCCTGTTCATGACTGCCCTTCCCAGCAGTGAGCAGAAAACACCTCCACCCTTTCTAGGGGGTGATGTTGCTACAGCCACTGCTGTGGCCTTGGGATGCTGTGGCTGTTGCTGAAGTGTGAAATGTGGCTTTGCTGGCCCTGGTGTGATGCTGAATGAAAGGCCCAAGCATTTCAGCTGGAATCACTGATGTCTCTTCCCTCTCTTGTTCATTTGAGTGCCTGGCACAGCTCTGGGAGGAATGGATTGGACAATAAAAGTACATTGTGCGCTGGGCAGAGAACAAAAGCATCATCTATTCTGAATCTTGCCTGTAAGATATGACCTCTGCTTTTATGTGTCCTTTTCAGGGACTTCAGGGTTAGCTGGAGATGTTGCAGCCACTAAAATAGTGGAATTGGCCAAAAAGAACCGTGAGATAACTGCTGAGGCCGAGAGCGAAAGAGCCAAAGTGAAGCAGCTGAATCACAAAGTCAAGGAGCTGGAGAGAGAAGTGAGGCGTTTTCCTTGTTCTCTTTTTGCATCCTAAAGCATAGAAATCCAGTGTTTGGGACAGAAAATGGGTTTGACTCGTGTTTACATGTGGAATTTGCTCTTATATCCGTGTTTACTTTGGGTTCTGCCCGTTTCTGTCCATGATAGGAGAGAGGGGGGGTGTGCCCTCAGCTGTTTGCTCCTCTGAAGGAGGGGCTAGGAAAGGATATCCCTAAATTATGATGACCCAAAGATTTGTTAAACAGCAATTAGAAATGTTCATTTGTATTTGAAGCACAGAGGTTTTTCTGATTATTTTTTTGTGTGTGAGGAAGAGCAAATTTCACCCCAGTATGTCTTAGATTCCCACCTCATTAATACCAGTCAGGAATTTGTACTCTATTCTTCTAAGCTTCATTCATCCACATAAATAAAGCTGTTTTCTGGCACAAGTATTTATAGAACTGAGACATCAACAAACTAGATCATGTAAGACAGCAAATCTTCACTCAGGCAGATTGATTTTTCTGGTTTACTATGATTTTTTTATATGTGCCAACCTTTCACAGGAATAATTTTACTCAAGTGACTGCTGAAATGAAAATTGGATGCCTTGATGTCAATCTTTACTTTGTCCTTGACTTTGTCCTCTTCCTTACACAATATTGGTGAATTTTTTGATAATTTTCAATGTTTTTTTATGAACTTTGCTTTCTTAGAAGACATCTGTTAAGTGGATCAATAATGTTTATCATGCTGACAGATGCATTTTGACTCCATCTTTCACAGTCACTTATTATCATAAGTCATGCATCTATCTGGATTTTACCCCAGTTACCTGAGAGATCAAGAAGTCATAGATTAAATTACATTTTGGAGAACTCCTGCATAAATCCAGAGTGTTCTGGTCAGGGGGGTCTTGTCAAACAGTTGGCAGGTTGGCAGAGAAGCATCAAGTGTAGGTTGGGACCTACAAAATCCCACAAGGAGTGGAGCAAGTCATGAATAATTTAAAGGAAAACCAACTTGGTTCTAATGCACTACTGCAGGGGTGTGATGACCATTATTCAAACAGAAATTTAAAATATTCTCAGATATAGAATATATATAATATATATAAAATAATCTCAGATTTTGACCCAAAAAGAAAGGACCACAGATATTTCAGGAAAGGGATTATAACTCAAAGAAAAAAGAACATTTTCAAGAAACAATAGTTATTTATCAAAGCAGAGATGGACATTTTATATACGAACAAATCTGTCCCCAGACACCAGGAAAATCAAAATAAAAACTAAATACAATAATGTGCCTCATGTGAGGTGAACCACAATGTGAACCCTACTGAAACTGTGCTCTAGTCCATGGTTTTTATTTTCTCCACCTAATTTGGGATGTCTCTTCTCTAAATTAATGGTGACTGGCTGAGTTTGTGGGTTTTACTTGTTCAGGAGAACTATGTGAAAATATAAAAGATAAGTAAAATTAAAGCAATATTGGACAGTGGGAGGTATTTATCAAAAATGTTGAGTGATAGATAGAAAACACTGTTATTTTACGTATTTTTAGCTCTTTGCTTGCATGAAAACTGAGTGTTTTAACATGATTATGTTCCCCCCAAACAGAATGGAAGGTGTGGCTATTGAGCAATCACTTGGCAAGGGGTGGTGCATGTAAGCAAAGGCTGCAGAGGGACGTTTGCAGAAAACTTCCATAGAATTTGGACCAAAAGCTGCCAAATCCAGATGAAATTCCTCATTCTCAGTCCATTGGCTACAAGAGTTTATGAGCTGGAAAGAAAGGGTGGCCCTAACCCACAAGAAGGGGTGATTTTAGAGCTCTGTGTTTCCCCAGATGCCGCTTTAATGAAAAAGCTGTTCTGTTGTTCAGGCAAATAATTGAGATTTTTCCACCCACCTCAAAGAATGAAGTCCCAACCCTTTTAAAGCAACACTTCCTGGCCTTTCCAGCTCCAAATTCCTGTGCTCCCATCCAGTAAGAAGTCTTTGGAAGCTCAGCACAGGGCTTGATTCAGGGCAGGAGGGGCTGTATGTCTGCCTTCCTTTGCTGTGACGAGCAATAGGGGACATATTCTTTATTCTTCATGGGCTAAAAAATGCTACCTTAGAGCTATCAGCTAAAGAAAAAGAGCCTTAATACCATTAAATCTCAGCTGTAGGGCATCAGGTAGTCATTTCTCCTTTTATATTCCTCTGGTGAGTAGAATATGTGCTTTTTATGAAATATCCTGGTCTGGGCAGGATTTACATTTATGTATATAAATACTAATTTTATGTACCTATGGTAATAAAATGCCCCAGGAATCTCTATGCTTGAAATCTGATCCCAACTCACCAAGTCAGAGACACTTGTTGAAGTTATTCCACAATAAAATAACCCATGACTCTTTGGGAAGCATTTCAGGGGAAAAAAATTCTTTCCTACTGACTGTGTTTAAAAACAGGGGGAAATTAATTATTTTTTATAGAGTTAATAAACATCTATATTTTAATTTTTTACTTATTAACACCCCACAGAGGGATGCTCTTCACTGTATCCATTGTACAATAACAATGTTTGGGGTTTTTTTCCAGCTACAGGCAGCTGTAGAAAAAATACATTCCCTTGGTGGTGGTGGAATCAAGGAATCAACTCTGAAGATGCTGGAAGAAAACTTGGTATGAATTGTGACTGAAGAGAGGAAATCAGAAGCTGATACTCAGTGCAGTCCTTTCCTTAGGACAAGGATGTGTCCCTGTCACCAGTTTTGTGACCATGTTTGGTTTATACTTCCCGAACACCCCAAAAATCAGGGAGGAAATGGGTCTGGAAGGACAGATTCTGTGATCCTGATAAATATGTGGTTCTTAATCACTTCAGTTTTTTCCCCTGAGGATTCTGTTCTTACTGAGTACATTCTTCTCTTCACAGGCTGAAAGTCCAGAGGTGAAAGCACTGCAAGAAAAATTAAACACAGCCAACTTTAAAGCCATGGAATATCGGAACCAGCTCCAATCCTCCAGACAGGAACTGAAGATGACCCAAAAGGTACCGTTTCAGGATGCATTTAAATTATCATTTAATTATGTATTTGGTTTTAATACATGTTTCGGTCCCATGGAAATCAATGGGATTAAAAACTGCTGGAAATAAAGCACGTGTTTAAACAGTTTGTTGGAGTGACATCCAGAATAACCTTTCCCTCTTTGATTCAGGATGGATTTAAGTGTTTCTATGTGCTCTGTTTCCCCTGGTTTCCTTAGTTTGTGTAAGAGACCTGCAATGCAGATCAGAGTAGAGAGTATGGTCCTAAAAATAGAACTCTGCTGACCTTTTTATAAATAATTTAAATGCTCTCCATACTAAGTTTAGCTGTGTCAGAATTGTGCAAGGGAGTTTGGCTCAATTCCTGATGGCAAGGGTGTGTATTTAGACAAATTTAGGCAAATAAATGCCTTATTTAATTATGGTTAAATATTCATTATATAAAAAATAACGGCGTATATTGAAAACTGTTGGTAATGCTTGTGTTTACTGCTAGAGAGAGCCCCAACACTTCTATTCAAACCTCATTGTTGGTGTTAATCCCCTTTTTCACAGCTCTTGGCAAATGAAATTGGGGAAGATGTGAATATTCAAAGTCTCTTGGCCAATTCTGGCAGCTGGCGTGGACGGGCCCAGCAGATCCTCGTTCTCCAAAACAAGGTGAGTGAAGACCCTGGGTGGTGCCACCTCAGCTGGAAGCTGGAATTCTCTTTCTAAATATGGATATCACCTCAATTTAAGGTAAAGGTACTGTTAATTCTTCATTAATTTTTAAAATCTACAATAATTACTCTATTGCAACCGTGCAAGCTTGGGTATTTAACTGGGAATCTTTCACATCTGTGTGAAAGGAGTGAGTTGAGTGACCCTGGAGAGCTGTGGCAGCTGAGCTAAAATATCCCAGGGTGTTTTGAAGGTGCCTCCCTCCACTGAGAACAGAAGGAGCCCTGTCAGTGTCTGTGCTCTGACTTAGACACCTTTGTTCAGTGCCTAAAGTCAGATGGGAAGAATTGAGGCCAGATAAGATTTTCAAGTTGTTCCTTAGGGAGCTTCAGTAAAATCTTTAACTCCTGAATCTTCTGAAGGGCTGAAATGTCAGCTGGAGACAGGGAGGCAGCTTTGTCTGCATCTAAATAAAACTTCTCTCAGGCAATTTGATACATAATTTTCCTACTTTTCTGCTATTTAATTATATGCCATCAAACTGTGATTTCTGCACTCTGGTTGACTGGGGTTGTTAACCTCTGCTTTCCCTTGATCAAATCACATTTCCTTTTGTTCTACCCCCTGCCTGGGGTTCATCTGAAGACTGTACATACTGTTCTCTGCTCTAATGCAGAGACTTCTTTCTGAGACAGTCTCTTCAGGCCCCTTTTGTAGTCAGTGGGGATCTTGTAAATACAGTCACTGGATCAAAAGTGAGGCAGGTCCATCTTATCTTGGATCACACCTCCAGAACAGGCAGAGGAACTGAGCTGTGGCAGTACCCAATTCCTTCTGCTGACTATAAAAGGAGTCTGCAGTGAGTAGGTGACAAGCAGAGGCTGAGTTCACTTGCCTACACACATTTCAGATGCTCTGGAGTGTCTGCCTGGCCTGCACATGTGGCTCCAAAAATCCACAGGTCTCCCACGTGTCCCGAGTCAACCAGAGGTCTGGTGTCATATCTCCTTCCTGCACAGATGCCCTAAAATCTGCATGTTTTATTAGCAGCTGAATTTAAATTTGAAAGACCAGACACTGCTCTATGGTAGTTAATAATATCAGGAATTAATATGAAGTTATACTCTGAGCTGTCTTTGATTGTGTCCCTTTGGTACTGGACCACTGTGCTCCTGACAAACCCCTGGACCATTATTGTCCCCTAGGTTCGAGAGCTGGAGAGTAAGTTGGGTCAAAACAAGACCAGAAGATCAGTGATGGACATTGATGAGGAATTCCTGGCCCTTGAGGATCCAAGGAAGTTGTCAGCCCAGGAGAAGCACTTCCTGAAGCTTCGCAACTTGGAGAAAGAAAAGAAAGAAGCTTTGGAGGTAAAAACCTGTGAACCAACAGAGTCCTGTTTGGGGGTGTACTGTGTAATAATTTGCCTTACAGGGTGTGTTACACCCTACCCAGAGACCATCTCCCAAACCCACCTGATCTGCTGCAGGAAGTTCTGCCACACTCCACAGACAAGCCCTGCTAGAGCTACATCCAAATCCCAGAGTGTCCTTCTGGCCCTTGGCCAGGTGTGCATTCCTCATGCAGTGTTAAAAACAAACATCACACGGCACCTACGGGATGGTCAGGGGAGCAGACCCAACCAGAATGTATTTAGGAGGGGCAGGTCCTGCCTGACCACCCTGATCTCCTTTTATGACCAGGTGACCCTCCTGGTGGATGAGGGGAAGGCTGTGGATGTGTCTACCTGGATTTCAGCAAAGCCCTGGACACCATCTCCCATGGCACACTCCTGGAAAAGCTGCAGCCACAGCCTGGACAGGGGCACTCTCTGCTGGGTTAGGAACTGGCTGATGGCCAGTTCTTAACTGGTGGGGAATGGTGCTGCATCCAGTTGGGATCTGGTCACTAGTGGTGTCTCCAGGGATCACTGCTGGGCCCAGTCCTGTTTATTGATGATCTGGATGAGGGGATTGAGTCCACCATCAGCAAATTTGCAGATGACACCAAGCTGGGGGGGAGTTTCCATCTGCTGGAGGGCAGGAGGGCTCTGCAGAGGGACCTGGACAGGCTGGATAAATGGGCTGAATGCAATGGTCTGATGTTTAACAAGGCCAAGTGCCAGGTCCTGCACTTTGGCCACAACAACCCCCTGCAGCACCACAGAGTGGCTGGAGAGCGATCAGGAGGAGAGGGACCTGGGGTTTCAAATCAACAGGAAGCTGAACATGAGCTCAGGTGTGCCCAGGTGGCCAAGAAGGCCAATGGATCCTGGCCTGGATCAGGAACAGTTTGGCAGCAGGAGCAGGGAAGTGATTCTGCCCCCAGACTCGGCACTGGTGAGGCCACCCCTTGGAGTGCTGTGTCCAGTTCTGGGCCCTCAGCTCAGGAAGGACATTGAGGGGCTGGAGCAGGTCCAGGGAAGAGCAACGAGGCTGGGGAAGGGACTGGAGCACAAGTCCTCTGAGGAGAGGCTGACGGAGCTGGGGTTGTTGAGCCTGGACAGGAGGAGGCTCAGGGGAGACCTCATCACTCTCTAAAACTCCCTGACAGGAGGGGGGAGCTGAGGGGGGGTTGATCTCTTCTCCCAGGAACCAGCAGTAGGACAAGAGGGCTCGGCCTCAAGCTGTGCCAGGGGAGGTTTAGGTTGGATATTGGGAAGAAATGTTTTCCAGAGAGAGTACTCAGCCATTTGAATGGGCTGCCCAGGGAGGGGGCGGAGTCACCGTTCCTGGAAGTGTTTAAGCAGAGCCTGGGTGTGGCATCAGTGCCATGGGCTGGGTGACAGGGTGGTGTTGGGTCATGAGTTGGGTCATGGTTCATGATCTCAGGGGTCTTTTCCAACCTGGTTGATTCTGTGATCTCCCTCACACTTCCTCCATCTGTGTGGCTCTGGGCTTCTCCATTTGAACAGAATAAAGTTGAGAATCAACCTAATCCACTCAGATTCCTGAGCAGACAGACCCTTTTTGATGCTGGCGAGCAGCAGCAGCGTTTACAATTCCTACTTCCTTAGGGGTGATACAATATTCCAGTCCCATTTTTTAGATTTCTTTAAGATTCTACCAGATAATGTGTGATTCTTTCTGCTCCCCAAAGCAGCTGAGGCCTGGTGATGGGTTACAACTGTCATGTCCTGTGGTGTGTTTGCATCCCTGCAGAAACTGGTCGGGGAACACCGCGCTCTCCAAAACAGCCACGAGGAAGTGAACAAAAAACTCGATGCATCAAAAGCCAGGAACAAAATCCTGTGTGGTGAACTGAAAATCCTGAAGGCACAGGTTGTAACCTTGCTGGAGAAAGGAAAACACGACGATGAGCTCATAGATGCCTTGCTGGTATGGTCTGACTTTATCTGTTGGTCCCAGCCCTCTTTCTGTAAGTGGTGAAACATGATGTCATTCAATGACACAGACAACCTTGGGGGATACAGGAGCCTGATGAATCCAACTGTGACAGCCAGAGGTTTCCTAGTCAGCTAAAGCCCTTCTGCATTTTGGGTCAGGTCATGTAAAGGCTGCAAGACAGCACCAGGTGTGACAGTTGCAGTCAAGTGGCTCAAAGCTGTGAGGATTGGAAGAAACATTTTGCAGAAGGATTGAAATAGGATTTGTCTTGTAGGTAGAGGAAGAACTTCATTCCTGACCCATGGAGATGGACTGTATTGTCTATTCTACTCTCAGCTCCACTGGTAGATTGTTTTTTTCTTTAGAATGCCTGCAGTTTTGCAAGATTTCCTTTCTTTGTAACACAGCTTTCATTTATTGTGTTAAACAGCCCAAAACATACAAGCTGAACCATGAATTTTAAACCATGTGCACATTCACTTGCAGCAGCTGAAGCTGAGGGGGTTTGACCCCTTCAAAACCAAGAGTTTCAGCAGACTCAAGGTACTGAAAAAGAAATAAATGACTGCTGTCATGGTATTCCAGGGTTCTTTAGTTCTACCATGGTTCTAAATAGCCTTCCCCAATTAAAATAGTAAAAAAAAAAATATATTAGAGAATATGGCAGTTCTTAGCAGGGTTAGTTCTGTGTTTCCTGATCCAGCTCCTCACCAGTATCAAACCACTTGGATTTCCTTGCTTCTGTGCACAGGTTTTAGCTAAGACATGTTTATAACTGAGAAGGAATTCACCCTTCTCACACCAGGCACTGTGAGGAGCTTGGGTGCTGAGCAGCAGGTTAGAAGAGCCAAATAACAGTTGTCATTTTTGCCAGGTCTGAGCATTCTCACTAAAATTATTGCAGAAAGATGCAAATTTATTTGGGAAGGGATGGTTAATCTGTTTTATCCCTTATATCAAGGATGTACTTTCCTTGCAGTTTGTTGGCCTGACAGAACAAACTGTCTGACAGGTATTAGATTTGTCAGTGTGAAAGAAAACCTCCAAAACTCACTGGTGAAGCAGCCTGAACTCATGGCTGTCACCTCATAGTACCCTCATCTTTTAATGTCACTGTCACACAGTCTGATCATGGGCTAATTTCACAAAAAGCACATTGAAATCTTGACTTTCATCCAGTTTATGAAAAATTAATTCATCTTCTTTGTCCAAGGCTTGCTCTGTTTTCTGTTACACTGAGTAGCAAAGCTGCTACTGAATCAATGAGCTGCAAATTGAATCTCTCAGCTGCTCAGGTCAACACAACAAATCAAACTCCTAGAGCAGCACTGGTGAAACCAGTGTGCTCCCACCAAGGAATGGGTTTGGCAGGGCAAGAGCTTGTCCTACCATTCCTAAATGGAGATTTGTTTGGATGATGTAAATAATCATGGTGTACAAAATGAAGATTTCACTTGTTGTTTCTATTTTATCAGAGCCAGCAGAAGCAAATGCAGGAGATCTTAAAGGACCTGAGCCAGAAGGAGGATGAGAACAAGGAGTCTTGGAAAATAGGGCAGATGTTGAACAATGAGACTGAGGAACAAAGCTGCCTCATAGAGCATCTCAGGGAGCTGGTGGCAAAGGTTAAAAAGATGGAAGAGGCGATTGGGAAACTCACACTTCAGGTAGGAGAACAAATGAACCAGAAAAGCACCCTGTGTCATCATTTTAGATCTAGATCCTTGTTGTCTGAGGTGCTACCTCGAGACAGTCCTACTGACAGTCTCTCCTGGTGGAATAATAAAGCAGGAATCCTCTTTTGTAACTCCTCAGTTTCTTTCCTGTTAGTACATAACTTTTCTTCAAGCTGTTTAAGGAACAAGAAAACACAGAAATATCAATCCCATCCACAAGTGGCTCCATGTCAAGACTGTCACTTGGCTGACAGCAAGGGCTGGGGCTCCAGTGGGGAGCTCTCAGTGTTCACAATCCTTGGCTGCTGAAAGAAGGAAGCAAACAAATATGTTAAACCAACATCAGCAGGCTGCTGATCCTGCAGTCAGGTTTTATTAATACTTAGGCATCCTATTCCCAGTGATCTAAAACACTCGTAGGGTTTTATGGTGAGATTGTGAATCTGCCAAATACCTCAGTAATGGGGGCTGGAACATTGAACACAGGATAAAACCTGGGTTAGGGACACAAACCAGCTGTGCTGGCAGTGGTGGTGCCACACTGTGGGTTCTCCAGTGCCACTGTGCACCCTGATTTCATGGGAAACTGCACTTCTCTTTACTGACTCTTGCTCTGTTTTCATCCTGCAATGGATAGAAATGAAAGAAAAGCTTCTGAGGAGGTCCTGTAAATCAAAAGCTCTGGCATGCTTTTAGCAATAATTATAGGCTGCTGATTAGGCATTGATGCAGCTATTTGCCTTTGAACTGTGTAATTGGTTTTATAACCTGCTCCAACATTAACAGAAGGAATCTGCCCATCAAGGGGAGGGTTCAGGAGCTGCTGATACACCACCTTCTGAGCACTCTGAGGCACCTCTGGCACCAGGCAGCAGTGAGGTTGCAAGGACTGACTCTGCCCGGTAAGAAGACCCCAAATGTCAACGTTTAAATTTGTTGGGAGTAATTCAGCAGCCTGGTTTTCCCAGGCAGTTTTATGAAACCACAAGTGCTTTGTGCCAGCAGCTGTAGCAGCCTGTTTACAGTATATGGGAATCTCTAATCACATTATCTCTTGGACTTTTGTCCTGGAACAGAGAAGGATATACAGACTTGCAGACATTACTAGATTTGGCATGATGGTAGTGCAGCTAATTCCTTCTCTCCAGCTCAGATAATGTTTATGTGGTCAGCTTAAGTGCCTGGGAGTCTTTTTCTCTTATGAGAAACAGGGTTTCTAATGAGGAGACTTCTGTGAGCAGAGTGGTGAATTAAAACAAAATGCCATTTTAGGTAAGCACTAAATCACTGGTGCACTATTTAAATCAATAAATACACTTTGAGTAGAATTTACATGCAGCAATGTTGAAAACACACCACATCATTTGTTCTCAACAAACCCCCTTTTTAAAGCTTGGTTGAGGACTGTGTAAATTACACTAATCTTAAAACAGCAATAAATCTGATTTTTGTTTACACTGATGTAACTCTGGGTCACTCTGGCTGTGTAAAGATATCAAACAAGTTATATCCTTTCCTATTAAAGTGCTGGGTTTGTTGCTAAAGAGTTCATGGTCTAATTGACAATGAGGATTTGAGACTGGTCTTAGGGGGACAGAGGAAATTTTTCATCAAGTTGCAGCTGATTTTGTCTCTGTCACGTTATTTTAGACCCTGAATTTGGCTTTAAAATTGTCAGCTGTATCCCTGAGTCTAATGGAATATTATCATAAAATCCAAGAAAAATTCTATTTAAACATCCTTAATTTGAAAGTTTCTGCATCTCCATTGTTGTACCATTCAACATTTATCCTCCCACTTCTAACTGTGCAGAAGTTGTTGTGCTCTGATGGAGCAAACCTATATTTTATCCCCCTTTTTTTTTTTTTTTTTTTAACTTCATATCTTTGCTGATGGTAAGCAGGAAAAGGAGGTTGGGTAATGGCTTTGCAGAAGCCACTAAGTGCAGTGCATAAATTATTGCCTGTGGACGTGGCTAAAGGCCCTGCCATGGAAAGAGCTGACGTGTCAGGTGGGCAATGAATGATCCTGAAAGCTGTGAGAGCTCTTAATAACTTGGTCAGCAAGGCTCACTCCTTCCATTAACTTTAATATGCTGATGAACTCTCTATTCTGTTTTACTGGAGTGAATCATCTTTTCCTATCAGGAAAGATGAAATGAAAAATGCTATAAATAGGAGCTGAAGCCCCTCAGAGATGGTGAAGTAAAAAATCTGCATTTTTAGACTGGGCCAAGTCTGTCATTATCAATTTGATTTTAGGATTAACCACTCCTGGCCTAGGAGGCAGCTCTGCCTGTTCCTCAATATTAAGGCTTTATCCTCTTGTTAGCTGCAGCCTAAAGACAAGGAAACCTGGGCTAAGCCTACAGGGGCTTGCCTTTAGGCAGCTGAGCTCATACTGAGAAAACAAGCACACACCAAAATTTGATGTCCCAAACACACATATCATTGGGTATAAAACTCATCCAGAGTGGAAGTGATACTCCAGTGTGATCAGTTCACTCTGACACATCTTCATGAGGGTTTTCACAGAGCAGAAGTGTTCAGAAAAGTATATTTTTAAAGGGCATTTGGAAATGCAAGTTGTGGACCTTGTTGCAGAACAGGAGTTCATCTGGTTGTGGAAGTATGTGACATAAAAACACAATCAGAGGAACACAGTCACCTGGGTGAAGGTGTGAGCTGGGAGTGCTCTTCCCTACAAGGCAGGAATAACCACAGACACTGGGAAATGACAGGAGTTCTTGGAATACTGCCTGACAAAGCTTTTCTCCCCTCAGCACAGTGTCCAGCATGGGCCACATGCTTGTGGAATCAGCAGCCACGAGGCCTTCCCTTCTTAGGGATGACATCTCACCTGGAGGGTAAGGATATGAACTTCATCTTCAGCAAGAGCAGTGTCCCACCACACTCCACAAGCTGCTGGAAAGCCTTGTCCTTTTCTGCCTTGTTTCTGGAAGAAATAGCTCCTTTTACCATCCTTCCTGCCTGATGCTGCCCAAGAGCTCTGGCACAGGCTTTAACATCTTCTTGCTATCTTAATTTTTTAATTGATTGCTGGTTTGACACCACATAAATTCATTTTTTCCCCATTTTTACTCCCAACCACCAAGATTTCTCTTGTTTTTTTTTTGTTCTGAAGGAGATACTCCTGAGTGCAGAGAGGTCAGAGAAGTAATGAAGTGCATAATAATGGGATACATGGGAAAACTGCCCCTTCCTTTCATCACATGTTGGGCACAAGAACAGCCATTGTAGTAGTGCTGCCTGAAGCCTTTCAGAGGGAGAAAATCAATAGCAGGGTATTTAACAGCTGAGTGTAGCACTTTGGAAATAGAATCCTCTTTGGCAGGAGCAGTGGGAGGAGAGTCAGGGATAATGAATTGATCAGAGGTGGAAGTTTGGGGTTTGGGGGTGATGGGAAGGGGAAGCATCCTGGAAACCCCTTTCTAATGAAACTCACAGGGGCTTTATTTCCAAATATTTCTGTTCTATTTATTATAGTCCAGACATTGATGCTGGGGGAAGGTGGGGGGTAGCGAACCTGGCTCTGCCTTCTGGCTGAACTTTCAGACAAGTGTATTTGGATATGGTTTTCAAATCCTGCCTTTGTTTCTTTTCTTTCATTTCTGGAATGGGAAACAGCCTCTCTGTGCTTGTGCTGCTTTCAGGGTCCCTGGCACTGACATTCCAGAGGGGAAGGTGCTGCAGACACAGACCACGGAGCACAGGGCTCTGTGCCAGGCTGCTGAGGTGGACAGGGACGGGCTCCTGGCACTGATGATTGTGCTGCAGAAAAGGTAGAGCCTGATCCTGCCTGTCCTTTGTGGGATCCTGTGATTTGGGAACACTCAGAGTCTCTAACATGCAGCACAGCACATGGGTACAGTGAGATCCTTTCCTTAAATAGGGGCTTTTACATTTTTTTTTTTCCTGCTCAATTTTCCCTGCCTGGCTGATGATTCATTTCTTTTATTATCCTTTTAGAACAAAGGGCAGAAAAAAACAGAGCCATCTTCAAGCTTGCTGCACGAAGACAAAACTAGCATTCCTGTATTTATACATTCATGGAATTATTTAGGCAGCAACATTATTCATCAGTAGTAAATACTGTAATTATAGTTATAATCTGACTTATGTTCCAAAGCTTCTCCCATTCTTTTTAAGTTTCACTGTACACTTTCCTAAATTAATTTCTTCTGGTTTAACTGAAACAAAGCATTGATTTTTGTTTGAAATTTCATTTTCTATTATTTAGTTTGATGTAAGATGATATTAAAAGCCAGCTATGTTTTAGGTGGACAAGGGAAGCAAGGTCTTTTCTCTTTGGACACCTTTCAGCTACTGCTATTTTTTTTTTGCCCCCCCAGTTAGGGAATGTGTGTTATTTTGATTCCCAAATCTGTATTCTAAAATAGGAAGCATATTTTTGTCTGTGTGTTTGTTAATACAATAAGCACAGTTTGCTCACTTGCTTTATTTGACAATGGTTATCATTCTCACTTGTCTAACTTTTACCCTGTGTGATTAATCACAGAAGAAAATCCACATATATTTTTTAAGAACCTTGGAAAAGATGCTTTTGAGGGCTAAATCCTGCAAATACATAGTAGGAAAATCTTTTTCATGTTTGCAAGCCCAGTGACTTTAACAGAGCTTTGCAATCAGATATAAGGATGAAGGTGTGATGGGTGAGATGGGGCCAGCACCACTGTGGGATAAGGAAGAAGAGAGCTGATGAAATGCACAGTAATATGCACCACAGACTGATGATTCAGCAGCTCCACAGTTATCACACATTTATCAAGCAGGTAACATAAATTTTGTGAGACTTTGTGCAATAACTCTTGGATAATATAGCACCCAGTCAGATTTCAACATCAATATATATATAAAAAAACCAAATAAATCAGACATTCCTCCTTTTCCCTTCCTTTTTGGAGTGTAACAAAGCTCAGGTAACACGGATAATACTGAAATCAGGAGAAGGGCACAGGGGAGGGTGAAAAGTGGGATTTTTCTACAGCGTTTGGGCTTAAGTTATTCATGTTGGCAAAATATGTAATTAAAAAAACAAGTAATCTTGTCATTTTTCCTCCTCTTTTTGTCTAATGTGGATGCTATAGGAGCACCTGGTCAGATGAAAGTTTGATGAATTCAGAGCCACTGAGAGAAATAAAACATCTCGTGGCACGTCCCCAGCCTGGGAATTCACTGCCACAGGAGGTCGACTCCTGCCCGGAGCTGGATTTTTAAGACAGTGATATAATTTTATTATAGTTGTAATATTTATTTTTTTTTCTTTTTAGTTATGTCAGCTGGGAGTGAAATAAACTAATCAAATCTCTTGGTTCAGAGAGTAATCAGCATCCCCTGTGGGCTCAGGAAGGGAGTTCTTTTCTTCTGCACGTTGCAGTGAGGCAATTTGTGTTTCTCTCCGGCTTTAAACTCCTTTAAAGCACTTGCTATCAGTCACTGCCCCACGAGATGCACCAGTGACTGTGTCTGTGGGTGCACATTAGATTCCTGTAGTTAATTTTCTAACATGTGTGGGGTGGATAGAGGCAGTTTGCTCCCCTGTGCTGCTCTGCAGAGTGAACCATCCGTTTCTTTTCCACTCACTCCCTTCCACGGCCAAGTTTATTAAAAGCAACATCAAGTTCCTTTTCTTCCCTGCAGATAACTGACACAAACCAGTTAAATGCTGCACAGTGCTTCTATAAACTGTTTTCCTTCCAGATTTTCCCAGAGTGCTTAAAAAAATGCTGTTTGTTATTCCTGTACTGAAAGATCCCTCCTCAGCGATCCGCAGCTTTCCCGCTCATCCCAGTGGTGAACTCACACAAGTTAAGGGATCTACAAGATCTAAGCAACTTCCAATTACAAATCCATTATTTCTAACTGCACACATCAGTTAATTCTGTTTTGCATGTTTGGAAGATGTCATATGAAACAATTTCACTGGGATTTCTGCCTTTGGATGCATGGAAAACTCTTTTCCCTCTGTTGGGAGCTTTGCAGCATGAAGCAGGATTCAGCAACAGGACTGATTTGACAAAGAGTTGACATAAATAAGCTGAACTCCCTCTTTTTTTTTTTTTTTTTTTGCCTGTCAGGGTGGAGGAAAGCAGCAATAAAGTCTGGGAAGCTGAGAAGAGGCTTCAGGAACAGCAGCGGCAAAGTGTCGTTTTGGAACAGGAGCTTGAAAAGCTGCAAACGGATCCAGGGAAAAACACAACAGGACAGAAACCACCCCTGAGGAGCAGAACAGGTGAGGTGGAACACTCAGCCACAACTCTGCCCCCCATTTCACCTCTGTGTTAGCAGACAGCAACAACATTTGGGCTCCATCTGTCAAACCCAGACAAGGGCCTGACCTTGCACGTGGTGCCCGGGACCTGCCCAGATCCAGTGGAGCAACACAGGAGGGAAAATCCCGGCCCCTCTTAATTCAGGAGGGGTTTTGCAACAGATTGGAGTGGGAACAGGATTTTTGCAACGTGGGGTGACAGTCTCCAGACCAAAGACTTGCTCCTGCTCTGTGTTGCCCCCACAGCCACTTCTGTGCTCTCTTTGCTCTTCTGCCTGATGGATCCAGCTGAAGGTTAAGAGCAGGATTAAAGGACGCATCCCAATTTAAGGCCTGTCAGTGCCCATGAAAAACTAGTGCTGGTGATGAAGTAATTAGATCTGGTGTAATTTATTATCCCGTGAACGTGATAATCTCCTGCTATAAATATGAAAGCCTCACTGGCATAGTTAAAGGAGAAGAATTCATGGTGGATGTTAAAATTTTTATTTCCCTGATCAGGTCCTTTTATTGCTTAAGGACTCTGATTCTGTAAAGTGTCTAAACCAATAAAATGGCACATATTCTTAAGGAAACTTTTCCAGTGGTTTGCCTTTTAATGTCCATTTTGGTGAAGTAAAAAAGGCTTTAAATGCCAGGAGATGAACAGCAGGAAGGGGAATTTCAATTGGGCAAATGTTGGGGTGGTGTCAGGCTGAGTTAGGGTGACCAGAGGGACCACAACCTTTATCCTGAATGGGGACTGAGTAAGTGCTTCAAATCACCTCCTCTCTGTAAAACATTCCTTAGAGCAGGATTGTTGTGCCCTTAGAAAAGGCTCCAGGCCACACTGACTCATTCTCAGGTGTTTTCCTGTGAGCACTAATTTTTTAGAGTTGCCTTACCTGTGTTAACTGAGAGCCTGAGAGCAGAAAAACTTAGATACCCATAGAAACCAAGGGTCTAAAAGTGCTGTGGCCTCTTGGATCCAGGACATTCCTCTTGGTAAGAGAGCAGTGCTGGGCCTCACAGAAGTCATATCATGGGTTGCCCTTTGTGATTCCCAGGAGGATTTGGAGGTGAGAGGCTTTGGAGCTCTACAGATGCCCAGAGGAAGAAATCAGGGTGTGTTTAGGAGAGATTTGTGGGAATACAGCTCTCAGTGATACACTTTTCCCTGATTAAACAGCATAGGAGCATTTTGGTGCTGTCTTTTGGAGAATTTAACTGAGTTTTTGAGTGTTCAGACTTTTGTACAACCTGGTGAAGGGTTGATGTGTTGTTCTGTTGTCATACATGTGCTCCATGTAGATTTTTCCTTGCAAGCTCCAAGAGATAAAGGGATAAACTTTGAGGTCCTGAGCCATTTTGGTCAAGTTGTTGTGCTGTAATAAGGTAATTCACCTCTGGTAGTTGGCATTTCACAGCCAGAGGAAGCAGCAGCTCTTAGCAGTGTGACAGATTCTCTCTCACTGAATATTTAGTTCATTAATCTTCTCTGCTTAAGGACTAAAAGCAAAAGTAGAAAAGGATTGGCAGTAAGACTAATAAGAAGAAATCCTCTCTAAATCCATAAGATGAGTAGGTAACAATCTGCTTCACTACCCTGCTTTGATGAGAGCTCAGCCCCTTGTGATGTGCCAAAACTTTCTGGAGTTTGTACAAAAACCTGAGTCTGCAAGTCTGTAATTCACCTCTTCAGCAGAGCATGGGGGTTATCTGAATGCTTTCATGGCAGAGAGTTGAGGAAATAAGAAGAAATTAAAAGCTTGAATATAAAATAGAGACTAGAAAACCTGCTAATTAACATCACAGTTTCTTTTCTTTCTGAAAGTGCCAAATTAGAGAGAGCTGATCTAATTGCTAATCTAATGTTTCTAGTCTCTCCAGTTCAAGGGAAGTAGATAATGATGCTAAGTAGGTAGAAACAACCCAGTTGTGTTTTAAAATTATTCAGGCTTTTCATTTTCCATGTTTGTTTTTTTTTTACCTGTCTTATCCAAATTCCAAATTATCAAAGAATTATCCCAGAGGAGGACAGGTAAGTAACAGCAGGTTTTCCTCAGCCCTGTAAAACACAGCCCCAAGATCAAAAGCATTTCTTGGTTACACAGCACAGCCTTTTCTTCTCCTTTGTTTTTGTCAGAGCTCAGGAGTCTCCAACCAGCTCCTTTTAGATATTCCACATTAAGTGTTCTAATACCAAACTTACTTATTTGAAGAGATTTGATGTTCTGAGGGATATGAATTTGGAAAAGTGATACAGCAGTGCACCAAAACAGCAACACAAGCACAAAACAGCAGTTGCAATGCACAGTAGAATCACAGTGTTTTGGCTTCTCCAGTCCCAGTAGTAAATTTTGAATTATATTTTTTGAATTATATTTTCTCTATAACCCTGAAAAAAGTTTCTGTGTCCCCTTGAAACGACAGGAGCTGCATCTTTGGGGTGGACAATCCTAAATAAATTTAGAACCTTAGTTTGAAGCACACATTGAAGTACATTTAAGTTGTGTTTATGCTGAGGGTCAAAGTGCTTTACAAAAGCTGTTTCAAAATGTGCCACGTGCAAACGTTGTCACAGACACTCAGGAAGCAACAGTTGTCAGCATCTGAAACACAATTACAAGGTTAACATCAAAATAATCCTTTTCAGCTGTTCCTTGTCACTTATTCTTTTGGTCACTTAAATATTATGGATTAATTATTTCCCTCTCACTTTAATATTATGGATTAGTTGTTCTCCCCTCTACATATGTAGGCACCTGTATTACTGCATTTAGCCCTGAAATGCAAATTCACCATGTTTTTATTTTGCTGAAAGGAGACTAAAATAAAAGTCTGTCCTATATATTTACAGTATTATCATGGATATACGTAGAATTTAATGAATTCCTTAGTATTTATTCACTGTTTCTTGAGATTTACTCATTAAAAACAATTGCTTGTTTTACTAAAGCTCTATTTTGTGATTAATTCTACAGTCCAGTCTGTGGGTCACTCAAGACTCCCTTTAAATGTGAGTGACAGGAAGGAGGTCCCTGCATTCCCCCTGTCCCAGCTGCCCCTGGAATCACAGGGAGACGAGCAGAGCATGAGGTGAGTTTTCCCTCTCTCCGAGCCGTGTTTACCCTTTCCCACCTCAGAATGGGAGGGAACAGGTGTTAACTCTGCTCTTTCTCATGCCTGTCACAAAATCACCAGAGATCTCGTGTTGAAGAGTCTCTTCCCCAAAACAGAAGAGCTGTTTTGATTTGCTTTGCAGCTCCACAGCTCACAGGAAAGTTTTCCCTTTGTTTCCTCCTAGGCTTGTGACCCAGCTGGATGACAACAAAGCTCTGCAGGCTGCTTTGGAATCAACTGTGAGAAAGAAAGAGGAAGATTTTAAACTGTATCAAGACACAATGGAGCAAGTGAAGCAAATCTTTTTAAAGGCCATTGAGCAGCAGAAACAGGAGAAGAGTTAAGGGAGATATCCCAAGTTCTTTGGGCTGCAGAGCAGGGAGAGAGCCCAGGCATCATGCCCGGGAACTGGAGCAGTGGCAGTGTAGTTTTGCAGCCTCAGATCTTCAGCATTTACAGGAGAGGATGAGAAACAGAGATGAAATACAAAAAGTGGAGGTTTCATGTGTCAGCAGATTCTGTCTGTGAGTTGGCAAGCAGGGCTGCACAGGCTGGAGTTGGTGCACTTAGAAAGCTGCAAATCCTCAGTGGGATTTTGGGCAAAACCTCTCTGGTTTCAACACAGTGTTGCCTGAGAGGGCTCAATATTCAATGGGCCTTTATCAGCTCAGGAAGGAATTTGCTGTACAAAAGTTAGGCCAGCCCCCTTCCTTGGAACAAACTGAGTTCTGTTTTTATCAGCACACTGATACCTGTCTGTCTCAGCCTTTCTGCAGCACTTCAGTGCTGAGGGACAGGGTTAGCCTGGCCTGTGAATGTCTGCAAGTGAATTTTGGGGTGGCTCCACTCACCATTCCAGCCTGTTTCTTTGCTTGAAGAGGTTTCTGAAACTCAGTGGAGTTTCCACTGAAAAGCTACACTGTGCAGATCACCTCTGCAAAGAGTCAGACCTACCTTAAACTCAGCCCATTCCTCACCAAATTCACCATCCAGGTTATGAATTCCCTATTTCTAGGTCTCTGCATTCATCCATCAGGCAGATCTTGTTCTCTCTGGGAAGAAATGCCACAAAACACAGGCAGGTCCTCACTGCAGCAGTGCTGGGACTTTTGGAGGTGCTGCCAGCCCTGCCAGCTCTGTCCTTCTCTCCTGCAGCACAGTGAGAACACGGAGTGCAAGCTAATAAGGCATTAACATGCATCCTGCCAGGGAGAGCAGCCTTGGGGATTCCAGGCAAATGGAGAGCCAGTCATTTTTGTATAGTGCTGCTTTTGTTTCTCAGCTGAAAGTCTTGAAAGCTCTTCTTTTTCTGCTTTGCTTTGTCAGCCTCTTTCTCTGAGCCTGAAGTTTGTGAGGCTTTAAACCCAGACAACGCCACCAGGGCCAAGTGGATTTTCATGGAGAAAAACTCCCACTCCCTGTGCTCCCTTCCCCAGCACAGGGATCTCATCCTGACTCCCCTTGTGCAGAGTGAAAAAGTGCAGAGCAGGAGTTACTCCAGGTTTGTTGTCCCTGCCTTTTTTTCCTGCTTAGATTCAAAGATGTCTCTTTTCAGACAGTTCATGGAGTCCCTGATGGAGGAAGTCACGGAGCTGAGGATAAACTCAGCTCCTGGCAGTTACTCTCTGTACTTCCCAGCCCTGCCCTGCTCCCCCAGCACTGTCCTATAGCTCAGCAAAGCTGTCAGGTGCCTCTCTTGCAAAAAGCAGGACCAAAACACTTCATTGCCACGTTTTCCTTCCTCACCCTGCCAGTTGCATCAGAGGATAAACCTGTGATCATCCCTGGACAACTTGAGGAATAAATCCTGGGTTGAGAGAGAGAGAGATAGACACAGTTTCATCCAACTGAGCTGTGCTTTGTTCCTGTTCAGCTCCATCCTGATGATTATGTGGAGGGGAAGAAATCATCCCACCTCTGGCAGATATTTTAAGGACCTGCAGGAGTGGGCAGATCCCCTTGAAAAGCTGCCTGAGCCGGGGCAGGGCTGTGGAGACTGTGCTGTGCTAAATCCAGGCAGCTGGAGATTCTGATTTCGCTTACACAGGAGTGTGAATCCATAATAGTTTCCCAGCAGTGGAGCAGAGCAATCTGCCTTCCTTCCTTGTCTCCTGTCCCAGTGAAGCAGTGGGAATCAAACCAAATCTCCAGTACAATGGCTCTGAATCAGCCCACGGAGCACAGGGAAGGAACTGGGATGCTACAGAACACATATGGCTTGCCAGCACACGCTGCAGACCTTTTTTTCAAGTGCTACAACACTCATTTCTTTAAACATATGCTTGTTTGGGGTTGCACAGAACCATTTTCCCTTTTTTTTTTTTTCTGTGCACACACACACACAGAACTTTGAGAAGGAATTAAACCAGTTTATTTAGAGAGCCTGGACCTGTAAGTAGCTGTTTCTCATGGAAATGTGCAATCTATCTCCCATCACATAGTGGGGGGGTCTGAACACAGGCCAGCTTGTCCAGGGCTTCTCACTTTTCACCTTCATTTTGAAATAAATTCCCTCTGCACTTCCACAGAGTGGCCTGCCTTTGAATTCTCCCCGTGTTGACTCTTGCAGCAGCTGGTTCACAGCCTTCAAGGTATGAGACCAATTTTCTTTGCAGCACATGTCATTTTGTTGCTGAATATAAGAAACCCTGGCAGACTTTGGAAGGAGCAGCAGCCCCATGTATCCCAACCTGTCACTCAGAAAACAAAATCAATGAAAATATTCTTTTCCCTGCCTGGAAAACCTCCTGGTGCTGGTCCTCAATCCTGGGATCCCTCTGGCACACTGGATGTGCTCTTTGAGCTACAGTTCTTTTAGGGATGTAGCTGGACTTGATATGAAACCCCCCACAACCCCCTGCTTTCCTTGGAAGTTTGAGTGTTTCTTTTTCCTCCCGTTAAAATCCCGTGCTTCCATTCTCATTTGGATTTCTCTGGCTTCAGTTCTCAGCCAGCCATTGTTAACCCTCTCTTGGATAAAAGCATTGTGAGTCCTCAGCTTTTCCTCACTGGGACGACCTTCATCCAGTGAAAAGTTGTGTCACAGGCAGCTTTTTGAAAAGCTCTGAGTTTTTTCAGTCTCTCACTGTAGCTGAAGGTGGTGACAGGCTCGAGGTGACACCTCTGGCACGGACTGGTGGATACAGTTAAGCTTAATTTTGCTGCAAATATTTGGCTGTGGACACTCCTTGTTAGGATCTGGCCACCTTTTAACTCCAAATACGAGTCCTCCAAGCACTTGGAGGTTTTATCCTGCCCTAGAGCTGGGCAGAGCATTCCCATAAATCAGCTATGAAGTGCCTGATGGATGCATCCCATTTTAAAGAACAGCTGAACCCCTGGGAATAAATGATCTTTGATGAATTGTCATCGTTTTCCTCTGGGCCTGTGCCAGGTGTTTACCTGTGAAGAGCTCTCCAAAGTGAATGTAACGTGAATTAAGTTTCATCAGGGTGGTTAAATATAGATGTATTGACACAGGAGAGCTCTCCCTGCCCTGGGATCCACTTGGATAAGGGGCAGCTGGTGGGACAAAACTGATCCCACTGTAACAGCTCCAGTTTAGAGCTCTGGGCTGGGGATGGCTTGTTCCTAAGGCTCCAGAGCAGGACAGAGGTGTGAGGAGGAGACAGATTTCAGTCCCTCACATGGGTGAAATGGGGAGGAAGCTGGTAGCAAAGGGGAACAGAGCTGGAAAATGCTTTGCCAGCCCCTCTACAGCCCCAGCAAGCAGCTGCTACTGCCCTGCAAGCCACAGGGCTCTCATCCCATGCAGGACAAAAGGAATGAGGTTCAGCTTTAAATGGAAAAAGAGCAGAGCCCCTGTGCTCTAAATTAAGCCATGGCTGAGCCAAGAGGGGTATTGGGTTTCTTCCTCCATCCTCTCCCCTCCCAGTCCAGCTCCCAGGCTGCTCCCATGGGACAGGGTGGCCTCACTCCACAAATGCCACCTAAGTCCCTGGAGTGTCCACTTACAGCTCCCAAACCATCCACAGCCCTGGGCTCAGAGCAGCTCATTTGTCAGGGAGAAGAGTGGTCTGTGGGATGCACTGTGGCAGCAAGGGATGGGGGGGTCACTCCAGCCTGGCATTGACCTAATTGGGACATTTTTTTGGGAATGGGAGGGGATTGTGAGGAGAGGAGCTGAAGGCAGTCACGTTTGACCTGGTGCTGGGTGGGAGGAGGTGGTGGGAGCCTCCTTTAGAGTCCTTCCCTGGGGTGGCAGAAGGTCCTGGGACCACTGATGGAGTTGATGTGGGCCATGAGGGATGGGCAGAGCCATTCTGGGGGCACTGGGAGGGGTCCTGAGAGGGACCTTGGATGGGTGGGTGGGGGACACATTCCTTTCTCCTGAGCCATCCTGCTGGCAGGAAAGTGCCTACTGAGGTCCTGGTGGGATTGACACATTCCCAGTGACATGTTTGTGTGAGGAACCCCATGGAACAACCTAAGGCAGTAGAGAACAATCCATGTTGGATTGAGAGAGCATGAGGGAGATTTTTGACAAGGATGTAGAGTGATGGGACAAAATGGCTTTAAACTGAAAGAAGGCAGGATTAGGTGAGATATTAGGAAGAAATTCTTCCCTGTGAGGGTGGGGAGGTGCTGGCACAAGTTGCCCAGAGAAGCTGTGGCTGCCCCATCCCTGGAAGTGTCCAAGGCCAGTGGAAGGTGTCCATGCCCATGGCAGGAGGGATTGGAGCTACAGGAACTTAAATATTCCTTCCAACCCAAACCATTCTAGCATTTTATGATTAAAACCCTCTCTCCTTCCCATCCAAAGATCTGTTCCAGCAGCCAGAGGGTTTGTTTGGTGTCCCCATTAACATCTCCAGCTCATGCCATGCCTCACTGGGACAGAGCCAACCACTTTTCCTTGAACCCCCTTTACCACCTTCCCACTCACTTTCTCGGACACTAAAGAGTGGCTTGGCCTCAGGTCCTGTGCCACAACTTCCAGTAACCCACCTAATGTTTGAAAAAATACAATTTAAAGCATCTCAAAGCCATAAACACTGAGGCAGTAAAACACAGAGGTGTCACCTTGTGCTGAGGGAGACAGGCTGGTTACATTAAAAATAAATCATTATATTAGAAATCAAGAGGGGGGTGGGTTAATTTTTTTTTTTAAATATGTATAAATTAAAGCTGAATGATTTTTTAACACTGCAGTTCTCAAAGCCTGATAAAACAAGCTCTGCCCAGCTGTTCACTGGTGTTGCATTTTGGATCGAGCAAGATCACAAGTTACTTGCGTTTAAAAAAAAAAAAAAAGATGAAAATTTATCATTGGCCTGAAACTCCGTGGATGCCCAACGAGAGCAGCGCGATGGGGCTGTGACCCGGGAGCCATCCTGGAATCCCTCACATCCACGAATCCGAGATCCCCCCGCCTCCATCCCCGCGGCCACACAACGGGCTCGTTGTGCCCCCGGCAGAGCGAACACTCCGAAAAAAAAGAATTTGGGGAGTGTTTTTCTCTTTTTCATGGATTGGGATGGGGATTGAGGGCGTTTGGGAGCCAGAGGGGTGACATGGATCTGTCAGTCCCCGGTGCCCCTTTCCTCTTGTCCTCCCTGTATCTCCCCACACCGCAGGGAGCCGATGTCCCTCTGCATCCACAGACACGATTTTTTCCCTCCTGCTGAGGCTCCTGGATGTGGCCATAACCCCTTCCCTGCCTGCCACAGGCAGAGGGAGTGTGAGGAATTGTGTCCCTGTGCTTATCTGCACCGATCTTTTAATTACTTCGCCTCTAAGCACGCAGTCAATTATGCCAAGGTCGGGAGCCAAGTCCCCGGGCAGGGCTGGAGCTGCGGCAGCAGGATGCAGGATACAGGCTGGGGCTCCGGGGGGTGTGAGGGGCCGAATCGAGCCCCGAGTGCAGCAAATTTAAGCGGCTCATTAGGTGTTGAAAGTGTTGGCCACACAGCCGTGGCCAAGGAGAGCCTCTCTCTGTGCTCACCGGGTCAAAACCGACGCCTTTTTGTTTGCAGACAGTGCTACAGCAAAGCTGGGCTGACCCTAGAGCTGCCCGTCCTGGAGATCCCCCCTCCGGAGCCTGGAATGCATCATCTCACCTCAAACCAGACAACCTGGAGAGGTATTTATAAAATCTGGGGTTCTCTGCCTTGTTTCTCTCCCCTGACCCTGAAGGCAGCTCAGGAGATGATCAGGGATGTTGGCCCCGGTGTGAGCTCTCCCCAGATCTCACAGGGATTTGGAAGGAAGATTTGGCCTCAGGGCAGGGGGATGGAGCTGAGGACACTGTGTTGACTTGCTCTTGGCTGAGCTGTGTTTGCTCATCATGAAATAGTGGAGACCACGACCCAACCCAGCCCCTTCTTATTACTTCTAGTATTCCCTTCCTCTCCTGGGGATGCTGGAAGCTAAGAAGGAGACCCCAAAGGTGGTTTGTAGAGATCATGGAATCCTTGAGGTTGGAAAAGACCTCTGAGATCATCAAACCCAACTGTTAACCCAGCACTGCCAAACCCACCACTAAACCACAACCCCAAGTGTGCTTTTGGAACACCTTCAGGGATGGTGATCCCACCACATCCTTGGATAGCCTGTTCCAATGCCTGACCACCCTCCCAGCGAAGAAATTTTTCCTAATATCCAACCTAAACCTGCCCTGGACCATCTTGAGGTTGTTTCCTCTTGTCTGGACACTGATTACCTGGGAGCAGGAGATGCTGCAACCTCTGAACCCCGCACGGATTTAAACTCCTCCAAGCCAGGCAAGAACTGCACCTTTTGGCTCCGTGCCTCAGCTTCCCCATCCCTGTGCAATGTGAGCTGACTCCCCTCTCCCCCAGGGTGATGGGGATCTACTCTCACCCTTACAGGGCCTTAAAGTGGGGACCCAAAACCCGCCTGGGAAGGAGTGGGTCCCTGCCTGGGGGCTGCCTTGCCCCGGGGCTCCCAGGGCCGGCCCCGGGCCGTGTCCCCTGGCTCGGGGTGAGCTTTGGCAGCCAGCACAGGTCCTCTCCAGCAGCTGCCGTGACAGACAGCTCCCGAGCCACCCCCCTCTGCAGTGCTGCTCTAAAATAAAAATACCTCCCGCCCGCTCCGCTCCACTCCCAGCCAAACTTCCTCCAGGGGCAAGGTGGGGGGACGGCAGCCCAAAAATACACCCGCCCCCCCCCTCCCAAGCCGGGCTGAGGGATGCTGTAGGGCAAGTCAGCGGCCCCCAAACCCCTCTGTAGTTCCCCCCGTTCCCCTTTTCCCCCCTCCTGCCCCCCCTGTCGCGGTGCTGGACGCTGGATCCCCGACCCTCGCCCGCCTCCCCCCGCGGCCCCGGGGCTCAAGGTCAGTAGCGGGGAGCGATGCGGGGCTGGGGGGAGCCACGCTGGGGGTGGGGACACGCTGTCCCCGCACTTCCAGGGCTCTTTGTCACCTCTGGCTGTCCCCAGCGCCCGGCCGGGGTGCGGGGGAGGCGGAGGGGAGCGGGGGGATGATGATGGTGATGATGATGATGCCCCGCGGCCTCTCGGACCACTGGGGACCCCCCCGTGCACCTGACTCGGCATCCTGGGAGAGATCAGGAGTTAAACTTGTCCGAGGGGTCCCCCCGCCAGCCCCCCCCCCAGGGTCGTTCGCCACTTCCCGCCGGCTCCTTTGCGGGGTGGCCTTTCTCCCCCTCTAAAAAAAAAACAAAATAGCTTTGGAAAGCATGGAAAGAAGGGGGAAAAAAGCTTTTTAAAGGCACCTCCGTGCGTGCCCTCCCGCCGCAGGGGAACCGCAGCGCTCGCCCGCAGCGGCCCCGCACCGGGAGCGGCCGCGGGGTGACCCCTGAATTCCCCCCCAGGCTGAGCCCCAATTCCCCCCAGGGTGAGCCCCAATTTCCCTCCGTGCTGAGCCCCAATTCCCCCGGGAAACGCGTTTGCTTCACGCTGGGAGGGAGATCGGCTCACCCCGCATCGCTGCTCAGGACCCCCCCGCCCGCCTTTAAAAACCTCAGTGACCGAATAAAACCAAACATTTAAAACTAAGATAACATTTTTTTATTTTATTTTGAATTTTGTATTTAATTACTATAATAATCGCGCAGAAGCTTTGAGATGCGGGTGCCAAAGCAGAGAGTGACCCGGTCGCTTTTTACTCCGTAATCCCTTCGCTGCTCTCAGGGGACTCCCACACGCGGGGATGGTTCCTCTCCCCCCGCATCCCACATCCCGCATCCCTGCTGCTCCAGCCCTGAACCGTGTTTTGGCAGCTGCCGGACAGGCTGTCGGGAGGCTGCGGAGCGGCACGGCACGTCGCGCCGGGGTTAATTAGCCTTGGCGGGAGTAATTAGCCCGGGGCTAATTGCGGGGCTGGGTGTCGGCACCCCCAGAGAGCTGCAGATGCCACCGGGAGGCTCAGATGTGTCTGCGGCGTCCTAAGGCTCCTGGCTGGGAGGAATTTGGGACCGCGGGGCTTTTGGAGCCCCCCCGAGAGCTGGAGGTTGGGCAAAACCTCGGCAGGTGAGCAGCAGCTCAGGGAAGAGGAGTTGGGGTATCCCATCACATCCTCTCCACCACTGCTGTCGCCGTGCTCTCTCCTGGATCCCCTCCAAGGATGCAACTAGGAATTAGGGGGGTGCACATTGGAGGAGACCCATCCTGAGCAACTGGCATCCCAGAGCAACTCTGAAAGTCGGGAAGAATGGGAAGAGCCCCTCATCAGGAACACCTGGTTGAGCCACCCCCAAATCCTGGCTCCTGGGTGGGGTTTGCAACAACTTCTCTCTTTACACCTGAGTTCACACCCCAGGTGTGACCCCCTTCTCCTTCCCCTCAGCTTCCAGCCTTCCCGGAAGCCCCCAAAGCAGAACCGTGGAGGAGCAGCAGGAATTCAGGGTGTTTGAGGGGTAGGAGGGCTGGTGAGCTCTCACCCCTGGTTTTCTTCCCTCTCCTGTCTCCCTTTTCCCAGGTGTGGATCCCGTGTGGCAGCCAGAGGGATAAGCTGCCACCATGGGGGTTAAAACGATGCTCCCACGCTACGAGCTGGGGTTTTATGCCCTCGTGGTCACCTGTGCCGTGGTTTACAGTGGCAGCGGGATCTTCGAAGCATCCAGAGGTAACACTTCCCACCACATCCCTGGGAGGGGGGATGGATGTAAGGTGCCTGCTTTTCCAGCTCTCAATATCAAGCAGCAGGTCCCTGGTTTTAATTCTTGCAGGAAAACAGCTTGTAAATCGTTTCCAAAGGGATTTTTGCTTGGTTGCCTCCTTGTGCCCCCTTCCACAGCTCAGGGCAAGAGGCTGTGGGATGTCACAGCTCTCCAGTCAGTGCCCAAACAAACAGGCAACCACCCTGGCTACACAGGGATGCCTCCCAAATTTTTTGTTTGAACCTGAAAGTTTCATGGGATCATCCAGGGGTTGCGCCCTGGCAAAAAGATTTTGCTGGAAGTTCCTGCAGGAACATCTGTGGTTGCTGATAGTTGTCCACGGCAGTTTGGGAGGGGCTGTTTGAGCCCTGATGGTTCCTCATCACCACGATAAAGCCTCCGTGCCTTGCCTGAACCCAGACCCAATTTCCCAGAGCTGTTTCTCTCCTGATAACTCTGAGGTTTTCTTTGCAGACAGCATGAACAGAAAGGCCTTTCGGGATGGAATAAAGCCAGGCTGGCACTACTTCGGCAGGAAGATGGTGAGCAGGGGAAGGACTTGGCCTTTTCTAGACAGCATGGTCAGTGCTGGACACTGGAGAAGCAGAGCTGGTTTTGATGCTGCTGACACACTTTTGCAAAGTCCACGTGACTTGTATTTTTGTCCCTAAAGTAGCCAGGAAAATACCAGCCCTGCAGGGCTGGGGATGCTCTGCTTTGTGCACGTCCGGACGAGCAACCTCTGTGCATCTCTCCCGGGGTTTTGTGTCCGAGCTCAAATGCTTGGTAGCCAGTGGGTGGAAAATGGGAAGAGAGGGCTGTGATAGTCGTGTGGCTGGGTCAGGGGTGTGAGTTGCCTGGTGCTGCTCCCACAGGACGTGGCTGATTTCGAGTGGGTGATGTGGTTCACCTCGTTCAGGAACATCATCATCTTCGCGCTCTCGGGACACGTCCTCTTCGGCAAGATCTGCTCCATGACGGTGCCACAGGTGAGCCAGGGGTGTGGGGGGATGGATGGGAAAGCGCCAGGGTGAGCTGGGATCTGTGGAGGAGGCTTGGGGGATGCTCCAGGATGGGGGGATGTTGCGGGGTTGGTGCTTTCCCCGGGCTGACCCTGGTCACGGCTCTCTCCCGCAGCACCGGGCTGTGATGTACATGATCTACGGGGCCCTGGCTGTGCTGGGCAGCATGGGGCTGGTCTACCTGATGATCATCCTCTCCCACTGCCTAGTCCTCTACTCCGTGGCACTGGCCAAGCAGAAGTGGCTCTGCTACGTGGCTGGGCTCTGCTGTCTCGCCTCCTTCAAGGTGGAGCCATTTGGCTCGTGGCAGGTGGGTGCTGGCCTGACCCTGTGTCTGCCTCATTTCCAGACCTCTTGTGTGCATATCCTTCAGTTTATCTCCAAAGAGGGCTCCTGGGACACCCCCAGACCCTGGCATTTCTCCCGGAGTCAGAGCTCCAACAGTGTTTGAGAGGGAGGGGAATGTTGTGCCACTGAGCTTGGGAATAATCCCACAAGGTCTGTGTCATCTTTTGGTGGCTTCATGATCCAGAGCTCGGGATGCCTGAGTCCTTCTTGCTGCCCAGGCAACAGTTTGTCAGCCAGGCAGGACATGTTCCTTCCCTGTGCCTCAGTTTCCCCACCTGTAACATGGGGCTGGGATGGGTTCAGGATGCTTGATCCCACAGTGCCCATCTCTTAGGTCACAGCCCAGTTAAGACTTTGTCTCACTGGTGGGTGGAGAGTGAGGCCCAGGAAGGACTTTATCAAGCTACTCAGTCCCTCTCCATCAACCTTGTGCAGGCTGGGGAGGTTGTGTCCCTGTGACAGGGACCCACCCCAGACCAAAGCCTGCGTGACCAATAGCTGCTTGGTGACCACATGGACAAGAGGATCCAACAATTCCTGACTACTCTGGGATGCAGGAGCCAGCTGGGAAACCAAGCCCCACTTTTCTCTTTCCAGCTCATTCACTCCAGGGACAATTGGTGTCAGAGCATAATTAGAGGTTTTGCCTGAAATGAAAACTAAACTAAAAGAGGTCAGGGTTAGATGAGATGTTAGGAAGAAATCTGTTATTGTGTGGGTAGTGAGGCCCTGGCACAGGTTGCCCAGAGAAGCTGTGGCTGCCCCATCCCTGGAAGTGCTCAAGGCCAAGTTGGACAGGGATAATGAAAGGTGTCCCTGCCCATGGCAGGGGGTTGGAATGAGATGATCCTTGAGGTCCCTTCCAGCCCAAACCATTCTGTGGTTCTGTGCTGCCCCAGGAGTGATGTCCCCCCCAGAGCAGAGGAGCACAGGAGTGACACCACGTTCCTGGTGGTAACTCTTGGTTTCTCATCCAGAGCGGGTTTGTAACGGGAGCTTTTGATCTCCAAGATGTCCTTTTCTACGGAGGGAGCACCTTCACCATCATGCGCTGCATGAGCTTTGCCCTCGAGAGCTCTGAGAGGAAAGAGGGCATCTACTCCATCTTCGACCTCCTCAAGTACAACTTCTACCTCCCATTCTTCTTCTTTGGGCCTGTCATGACCTTTGACCGATTCCATGCCCAGGTGAGTGCTCCTGAGGCTTCCTACATTTATTTGCTTGGGTTTAATGCCCACAAAAAACCCAAATCTGGCCTTCACTTTCACAGTGAAGGTGAAAATGGTTGTAGAACTTCTTATGGTCGCCTAGAGCCTGTGGCCATAGTCTGGGCTGTGCATAATGCTGTGATTTCTGTGGAGAGGGGCATAAACTGATGGGGTTTTAACCTTTCTTTGGGGTTTTTGGCCATTTCACAAGGGAGGACCTTGCTGCAGTGAAAGGGAGGGCTCAGCCCATGTCCTCCCTCACCTGCTTGGTGCCCCAGTGTCCTTGTGTTGTCACCCCAACTCCTTCCTGCTGTCCCACTGAACAGTGCCAGGAGGTCCCGGTGAGGGCCAAACATGGACTTATTTCTCTAGAAATATCTAAGATTGGGTGGAAGGTCGTGTTTCAACAATCAGGGGCTTCTTCTGCGCTCCATGAAATATCCTGATGCCCCAAACCTTTGCCTGTACCACAAAAAACCGAGGGAGCTTTTGGATGAGCAGACTCCAGAGAGCACTGGGAAACATCAGCAGAAGCCTGGGCTGGAACCAGCCAACACCTGGAGCTGTTCCACAGGCAGGGATCAAGGAAACCAGCAGTGATTTCTCTCTCCCTCTTCTCTTCTTCCCATCTCAACGTCCTCTTGGTCATCAAAGCAAACCAGTGCTGCTGGCCAAGGGAGGGACCCCTTGCTGAGGAGGATTCCCACCACCCCTCTGGTCCCTTTTGAAGAAGAACAGTTACACCGAATTTTTGGACCCAAATCAACATCTGGGTGCAAAAGCATTTTGGAAAAACATTTGTGAACTCGGAAGAAAAACCAACCCAGGGCAGGGGAGAGCAGCCAGAGCCCCGTGGTGAGGAGGGGACCAAAGACCCACCAGCCCAACACCTTCTCTCCAACTTGGGGCTGGTACTGGTCGCCCAAAAAAGGGTCTGCCCTGGGCTTGTTTCCTCCAGGATGAGCCTTGATCTGAGTCCTGCTCCTTTCTCATTTGTTCACACATGGAATTAAAAACCTCGTGGTGCCTGTTGAAAGGAACAAAAGCTCTCAGGTGCTACAGGATCTATTAAAAGGCTTTTTAGAACATTTGACCCTGAATATCATGAGGTCAGCTCTGATGTCCCCTTAAGGGATGCAGCCAGGTACCTGTAACTTGGAACATCAAACTCCTCATGTCTCCAACACCTGAACTCCCACCGTTCCTTCCAGGCTCGAAATAGGGGGAGTTTTAGTTCCTGTTCCTTTGCACAGCCCCAAACTGGAATGTCTAAAGCCACTTAATGGGCAATTCTCCCCTCTTCTGCTTAGAATGATCACCCCAAAGGCACCAAGGATTAAGTCCCCAACCCCTTTCCCATGCCCCAGCCAGGGGTCCTGTGTTGGCCTGGCCACCACTGCCACCTCCTGGCTACATCCCCCCTGCACTGCTGGAGCTGCAGCTGATTGCAGAGGTGAGTTCTTAACTGCCCAACAGCCATTAGGGCAGGAGGCAGACAAAACCCTTCCCCAGGGTGGGGTGTATGGCCCAGTTAGGGAACAGATCTGTCCCTTTGGCTCCGACTGGCCCTACATCCCGGTGGAGCTCTTGCACCCCCACGTGAGGTGGAAATTCATCTGTACCAGGGCTTGGCCAACCCAATTTGAGATGAGAAGCATCTTCCTCACTAAGATCAAGGGAACAAATTCCCTTCTGTAGGGTTGGGACTGTGGGGGGACACAACCCTGATCCCAGGGCGATGGTGGCCAAGTGATGTCACCACACACAGACATGAGGATGAGAGGAAACAACCTCAGTTTGCACCGAGGGAGGTTTAAACTGGGAGATTTGGAAAAATTTCTTCAAGGAAATAGTTGTCCATCATTGGAACAAGCTGCCCAGGGAAGTGGTGGAGTCACCATTCCTGGAGGGATTTAGAAGACATGTAGGTGTGGCACTTGGGGACACGGTTTAGTGGTGGCCTTGGCAGCGCTGGGGTAATGGTTGGACTCAAAGATCTTAATGGATTTTTCCAACCTAAATGGTTCTATGATTCTATGGAAGGAGGGCTCTGTGTCCTCCCACACATCTCCATGCCACAGCCTGTCCTCCCTCAGCTCCTCCTCCAGCCCAGGGTCCAGGGACCTCTTTGTATCCTTAAAGCACTTGGCTTATAACAGACACAGAAAAAATCTCGCAAAGGCTTTAATTCCCAGGAATCCTCTGGATTTGACAACAGGGCTGGTGCGGCAGCCTGTGGATTATGCAGGGAGAGCTCCCACCTCTCGCGGGGAATAAAGGGAAAGTAATGAACATAAGAGGATTTTGGATACAGCAGCAATTTTACGGCGGTGCGGGGAAGCAAGGACATCGCTCTGCCCGGTGTAATCCTGAAAGCTCCCTCTGATGATGTTTATATTACAAGGACCAGAGATATGACAGCTCCTGGAGGCAAAGCCCGGCCCCTGTTTGTACAAGGCACAGCAGAGGTGAAATTCCCATCAATCAGGTCCCACCGATTCGGGACGACCCCTCGAGCAGCTTGCCTTCCCATTTACAGCAGGACATCCAGAGATCATCACTCATCCTCCTCCTCCCAAATGATCCTGGCCAAAATTATGTGGTGGAGCTGTCTGGTGGGATTCCGTGCCTGGAATCCGTCCTTTGGATGTGATGGGTACGGACACTTTGCTCCCTCTTAGTGACTTGTGCAAGGGGCTGTCCTTAAGCATGAAGTTGATTTTCTGAGCATGTCCCTGCAGAAAGAACATAAAACCCTGGGAGTTCCCTGGCGGGTATGGATTTCACCCCACCTAGAGTGGTACAGCCAGAGCTGTCCCTGCTGTGTGTCACCCTGTGCCTGCTCTGCTGGACTCCCCAGTGATGGAAACAGGAGGAGGGATGCTGTGGGTGGGATGTGTCCTGCTCCTTGTGGACGTGCCCACCTGAGCTAGTCCTTGGGTCTGCCTTAATCGGTGGAAATTTGGGCCATGAAGTCCATGTGTGATTTCAAAGGAGAGCAATGAGTCCCCATTTGGACCTTGAATGTCCCTCTGGACGGAGGAACACGCTGCCCATCCCATCCCTCGACTCATCCCCGTCCTGGTTTCTCCATCCTGGCAGGTGAGCACGCGGGAGCTGAGGCGCAGAGACGATGAGATGAAGAGCATCCGAGTCAACGCCCTCCTGCACGTGGGGGCCATCGTAGCCGTGGACATCTTCTTCCACTTCTTCTACATCCTCACCCTCCCTTCTGACCTGAAGTTCGTGACCCGCCTCTCGGACTGGTCCCTGGGTGAGTGGCCGTGCCTGGGCACGTTCACCCCTGTACTCAGCTCCAAGGCAGTGGTGAGTGACCCAGACCTGCACCCACCCCCACTGAGAGCCTTTGGCAAGGCCTGTGTTGGACAGGTCTGAATGAAAACCCCCCTTCTTCCAGCACAGAGCTGGGGTAGGGCAGCCCTGCAGAGCTGGTGGTGTTGGTCTGACCCTCTCAGTGCGAAGTGTTTAGTTTGGGGTTTCAAGAAGCTGAGCACCAAGACATTCTCGTTGCCTTTTTCTGGGCTGGAAGGGGACTCAGCACCTCCAAAAAGTCACCAGGGCATGGCAAAGAACATGCAGCAAGGCAAAGCCTGATTGCATGTAAGGAATGTTGCTCATAGAGGAGTCAAACACTGGAATAGGGGCCCAGAGGTGTTACAGGTTATCCCAAAACACTCATATTCAGTCCTTAAATGGACAATATCCAGAGCAGCCTAATCTTCATTTCAAGTTGGCTGTTCTCTAAGCAGGGCTGGACTAGGGACCTCCAAAAGCCAGACTCCCAGGGTGATTGGTGGCAGCAGGGCTGGAATTCAGCTGGAAGCTGGAGTGAGGATTCCAGCTGGTCAAATACATGTCTGAGGGCAGCGTTTGAGGCACCACCCACACGGCAGAGGACAAGCAGGGCCTGGAGGAGCCCCATGTCTCTCCAGAGTGGCAGCTGGAGGGCAGGGTAAAATCCTAACGCAGCTGGAATGGCACTGGCATGGATTTAGGGTGTCCTAAGAGACCTGGGTGGACTGACCTTGCATGTGTTGCTCCAGAGGGAGCTGAGCTTTTCTGACTGTGCTGCTCCCTTCTGACTGGTCCATGGTGGGAGCATCAAGGCACTGCATGGCCCTTAAGCTGAGAGCTGAATCCCACCAGGATGGGGACATTTTACTTTCTGCTTGCACAGGAATTTGCAATCTTTAGTGCCTGATCCTGCAGGGTTTGTCTCCCAGTGTCAGACACCTCTCCAAGGCAGAGGTTCTGGCCCTGGCTCTGCTGTAGCACCAGTGTTACTTCTGTGGCCACAGGGGGCATTTTGATGGAGGTGCCAATAAAACCTCAGAGGTCAGAACTGATAAAATCACTGTGATGACTTCATGATGAGTTAACAAGCCTAAGAGGGAAGGAACAATGTTGTGATAAATGACTGTATGTACAGAATTTCTTAGACCACCAAGACCAATTAAGAATTTGGGAGCAAATACCCTGAGAAAGAAGAGACTGTCCTTTGGTTCAAGCTTCCTAAAAAGTTTAGTTTTAAAAGTTTTGCTGGTCAAAGACAGCATTAGACTGTCCTCTTGATGTTATGTTTGTTGCAGCAGACTTCCTGCTCCCATGGGACATGATGTCCCCAAGAAGTCCCGAGGGTGACACATCTCATGTTGCTCTTCAACAGTTTGACTCTCGTTTTTGCTCCAGCTGGCCTGGCCTACTCCAATTTGGTGTATGACTGGGTGAAAGCTGCTGTCATGTTTGGGGTCATCAACACCATCGCCAGACTGGACCATCTGGACCCACCCCAGCCCCCAAAGTGCATCACCATGCTCTACATCTTTGCAGAAACGTGAGTACCCCGCGTACCTCGAGGGAGAGGGACAGTGTTTCTGAGCTGAACAGAACGTGCATGGAGGGGAGAACATCTGGGCTGTCCTTCTGGGGAGTTGGGCTGTGAGCTGGAGACCACCTGCAGCCAACAGTCCCTACTGAACCTCCAACTCAGGGCCTGGCACAGCCCAGGGAAATATCCTTGGGCAGGAATAAGGAGAGAAGTTAAACCACGTCAGTAGTGGGGCCTGTCCAAGGCAGGAGCATGGAACACTTCTGAGAGAAAGGTCCAAGGTGTACCTTGTCAGGGGACTGAGTGTTTTAGCAAGTTTTTTGTTATCTTCACTGTGTGTTTTAACACGTTTTTATCATCTGCATTTTAGGCATTTTGACAGAGGGATTAATGACTGGCTGTGCAAGTAAGTGTCTGATCGACCACCTCTAGCCTGGTTTGGGGTCTTCTCTTTCATCACGTACCAGTGGAGCATCAAATGCCAAAGCTGTGCTGTCCCCACTTCTGGGTGAATCCCACTATTTGGTCTGTTTAGCCCCAGACCTGCTGAATTAATTGCCACAAAGTGCAACAGCCCCTTCTTGTAAAGCCGGGAATAAGAGAGTCCTGTCCCAGAAATCCCTTTAAGTCTGGTGGGTTTAGAGTTCCCTCAAGGGGGGAAGAGTCAGGTTCATATCCTGCCAGGAGAAAAGGGAATTGAGCCCAGGTCTTCCATATCCTGTAGCTCCATCTACATCTCCCTTAAGCCACGAGTGCACACCAGCAAACCTGTTGTGAAGGCAGTGGCTGCTCTGCAATTAAATCCTGAGCACCAACAAGTCTGAGAGATCCCAAAGTTTTATCAACCCTTTACCTGCCAGCGGGGGAAAGGAGGGAATTTTGTCCTCAGTGATCTATAAGTCTGTGAGGAACACGAGTCACAAGCAGCTGGGATGAGGCAAAAACCAGGAATGTCTCAGGCAGAACATCCTCCCTTTCCCACTGGATGCTCTGGGTTGACCTGCCTGCGAGGAGCCTGCGGTGGGTGGGCGCGGGATAAGGGATTCCAGAGGGGTCTCCCTGACTACAGGGAGCACCAACCCCTTCCTTGGCCACCAGGTACGTGTATGATCACATTGGAGAGAACCATGACAGCATCCCAAAGGAGCTCCTGGCCAGTGTCACCACCTTTGCTGTCACCACCCTGTGGTTGGGGCCCTGCGAGGTCGTTTACATCTGGTCCATCGTCAACTGCTTCGGCCTCAACTTCGAGCTCTGGGTGCAGAAGTTCTTCCAGCTGGGGCCCTTTGCCAAACTGGAGGTGAGGGACTGGGCTGCAAGGGCCTGGGGGAAGGCCAGTGGGTCTGGGACCAAACTCTGGTGCTGGAAAGCATCATGAATTTAGGGAACTCAAACTTGTTTATACGAGTCAGATCCGTTTTGAGCTGAGGTTAAAGAGCAGAATCCCTGATGGTGCCATGGAGCTCCATGTCCTGGCCTCCTCAAGCTCTTTCCTGTGGCCTTTGAGGTCACAGAATCATTAAGGTTTGAAAAGTCCTCTGAGATCCTCAAATCCAACCATCAACACAGCACCACCATGTTCACCACTAAACCCTGTCCTCAAGTGCCACATCCACATGTCCTTTGAACACTTTCCAGGGATTGTGATGTCCTTGGAGCATCCTTATGATCAGATGCTGGGCAGATGGTGCTCTGTATCCCTTCCTTTTATGTTCTGTGTCACCCACCCAGAGCAAAGTCCCACCTGCCCCTGTGATGCTTCCCGGGAAATTTAGGTTGGGGTGGACCTTTCAGGGGGAAAACAGAAGTCCAAGAGAAGCAGGAATGCAGCTCCAATGAGGCATCAGAGTACCACACACGGGCACAAAATCTGACGTCTGTCCATGGGGAAAAGCTTAAATATTTCCCCATGGACACATGGGGAATATTCTATGGGGAATATCCATATTCTGTGATTCTGTGGGGAAATGGTTTTATATTTCCACATGGAAATAATTTTTTCTTCTTGTTCTGAAAAACGTCTTGGCATTCTGAGTGGTTTTGATCTAATTTCTGATAAAAACAAGTGTTTAAGTACTAGAAAAAAAATTATTTTCCAAACAGTTTGAAGACTGTCTCTGTTTGTTTGAGACCAAGGTGTCTCAGGGACACATTGAAAGAAAAACTTAGGGAACCCCATCCTGGAAGCAATTATGTTCATTATTTGTTTTGCTCAGCCCGAAGTCTGGAGATCCTAAACTGGCTAAATAAAGATCCATTCTGAATACAAACTGTGGAGAGCAATCCTCCCGTTTGCTCTCCTTGTTGAACTTCTAATCAGATTAAGGCTCTCACAGGCAGTGAAATCTCCTTCCCTGTGGCACCACAATTCTCAGCACTAAGTGGCCTGGGGATTCACTGTGCTCTTTGAAGACTAATATAAACCCTTTCCCTGCTCCACTCTCAGCAGCAGCTCCTGAGGATTATGTGCCAGTGACAATTTCACTCTGCTGCTGTCACTAGTTGTCAGCTTTTTTTTTTTTTGCTTTTTTTTAATTCCTAAGAAATAATCTTTACCAGGACCTGGGATTGATTTGCATGTAGGAATAATAATAATAATAATAATAATAATAATAATCCTGGTATACCACAGCATTCTCCTTCTTTTAGGAATGGTTTACCCAACCATTGCATTCCTGAAGGGGCTTCAAGAGAGCTGGAGAGGGACAAGGACATGGAGTGACAGGACAAGGGGGAATGGCTTTGAACTGCCAGAGGGCAGAGTTAGATGGGATATTGGGAAGAAATTCTTGGCTGGGAGGGTGGTGAGGCCCTGGCACAGGTTGCCCAGAGAAGCTGTGGCTACCCCATCCCTGGAAGTGTCCAAGGCCAGGTTGGACAGGGCTTGGAGCAACCTGGGCTGGTGGAAGGTGTCCCTGCCCATGGCAGGGGGCTGAAAGGAGATGATCCTTAAGGTCCCTTCCAACCCAAACCATTCTGTGATTCTACAATTAGCATGAAACTGTGTCTAACATCTTGTCCCTACTCATGGGACCCTGAAACACCAGCCCAGGGCCCCTAATGCAGCAAAGCAGAAGTTTTGTCTTGTCCTTACGTTTCTTCATCCGAGAGGCACTGAAGGTTGCTCTGATTTTTGCCTCCCCTCTGGAATCCCACCTGGAGTTGGACCAGTGCCTTCCCTTTCCTTACAGCCCCATTTTCCCTCACACTCTGCCCCTTTCCCCTCTACAGGCCAAGCTGTCAGGGGCCATGTCCCGGCGCATCCGGGCGGCTTTCGGGGCAGTGAATTTTTGGGCCATTGTCCTCTACAACATCCCTGCCCTCAGCAGCCTGGACTTTGCACTGCTGGTGACCAAGAGACTCCTCGTGACAGGTAAGGTGCTCCCAGCCTTCCCCACTGAGGGACCCTTGTCTTAATGGGGACTGGTAGGGGAGCTGGAGACAGTGACTTTTGAGTCCTCTTGGGTCCAAAGTGGCCCAACTTGTTACGTGGCTGCTCTGAATGTGCTTAATTCTTATGAAATAAATGCAGGCAGTGGTTTCTGAGCTCCCATGAGAGCACTTTGGGGTCCAAGCTGCCTTCCAGGTGTGCTTGTACAGCTCCTGGCACAGCCTGGCACTGATTTAGGCTCCTTGGAGCAATGTAAAGGTCACAGTCACCCCACTGGGCTGAGCCCCTGACTGTGAAAAGCTCCCCTTGCTGGAGAAAGGGATTTACTTGTCCTGCCTCATCCCCTTTGCTTTGGCAGCTATTCCTGCACCAGCCTGAAGGTGACAGGTACAAATCCTCGTCCTGCAACCTGTGCATTTCTAATCAGTGGATGGTGGCACTATTTTGAAGTCTTCTGGAGCTGCCCAGGGTATAAATAGCTATTGAGAACCCTCGTCCTCCAGCCTTCCCTGGGAGGGGGCTGGCGTAGGGAATGGATAATGTCATGCCCTGGGCTCAGTGTGCCAGGAGTGCCTGCCTGCTGAGCCAGCTGGCCTTTGCTGGTTGCATTATTCATTTCAGAGGTCCTGTTTTAGCAGGAACAAGCCCTGTATCTCCCCTCTGCTGTGGATACAGGGTTTGTGATTGCAGATGCCGTCAGACCCTTCCTAAGTGGAGGGAGAGCTCCTGGTTCTCAGTCACTGACGTGAGTGACAAAAATATGTGTTTTCCTGGGAGGACACTGTGTCCCCATGAAGTACAGGACAAGGCTGGGGTTGATCCTCAGCATCAGTGGGACCCCAAAGCTTCCAGAAGTTCCCAGTGTTGAGCAATGGGCAGGTTGAATGGGGAGAAAGTCAAACACCATGTATGAACTTGAGGAGCAGAAGGAGTTCTGGGGATAAGAGAGGGCTCAAAGCCATGTTCCCACATTGGCTGCAGTCCCTGGTGCCTTGGTGGGCTTAGGCACAGCTTCATCAAAAATCTGCTCCTGGGGATTTCTCTCTTCTCTCAGCGGAGCTGCAGGGCTGGATCCGGGATGAAAAATGTCATTGGCCACTGTGAACTTGTGGGACCTCCCAGACCCACCTGAGAGGCATCAACGCTGGTGAAAAATTGTCCTTTTCAGGCATGGAACCACACCAAGGTGACCATGTCTCCCTCCCTCTCCTAGGTTTCCCTGTCAGCACCTTGTCCATCTGGTTCATCACATACTGTGGAGTGCAGCTGATCAAAGAGCGCGAGCGCATCCTGGCCATCGAGGAGGAGGAGAAGAGTGACAAGGCAAAGGTGGAGTAGGGGAGGCATCAGCAGGCTTATCCCAAAGCCTTGTCTCCCTTCCTGCCACTGCTGCCAGGACAGCCCCTGGCTGGGGCTCTCCAGGCCCTCCTGACAATCGGACTTGTAGCTCACCCTTGTAGAAGTCACCTGGAAGGCACCGGTCACCCCCTTGCTGCAGGAAGGATTTTCTATCAGGCACAGTGGGCGTTTCACAGGCTTCCCAGGCTGCCCAGGCAGCTCCAAGGACATTTCTTCAATGCCAGATAGAGCCATCCCATGGTTTTTCTGACCCTCTGACATTGTGCAGGCCTAGAGATTTCACCCACAACTCTTGGTCCACCAGCACTCGGTGCTCCCACATGTCCATGTAGCTCATGTCTCCCAGAGGAAACCCTCAAAGTCCCATGGCTGGAGGTTTTAGGGTGGGCCAGGACACTGAGAAAAGGATTAGCTGGTGCTGAGCCTGCTCTGTGCAGAACATCTCCATCCCGTGTTCCCTTCACCACAAGAAATGATCTGATTTACTGTGCGGGGTTCAACTCCTGTGGTTGTGCAGTGAGGGCTGTGAAAGGGCTCAGCAGGCTCCACTCCTACCAAGAGGTAGTAAATAAATAGTAGAGGCTTTACAGCAAAGGGAAGGAGGACCAGGAAGGACACATTGAAGGGTGACTCTGCCCACCACTGTCAACCGTGCACGGTGCTGGGTGTTACAATCTCTACAACACAGGTCCCTTCACTGATAAATGTCTCAAAAAAAGTGATTTAGTGCCAACACCAGGCACAGTTAATGAGTGTGGGAGCCAAACTGCTTCACAGCCATTGTGCATCATCTGCAGGTCACACTGGGAGCGAGGATGCCAAAGAAACACAACACGTGGCCCACAACTGCTTGGTGCCCAGGGCTCAGCTCAAGCCCTAAGGGCTCTCCACTGCTGGCTCTGAGACTGAGTGGCCACCACAACCATCCTACTGTGACACATGTCCTGGGACTCAAGCCAAATCGCCCTTCTATATTTTTTTTGTATGCTATGGACTAGGGTTTGAACTCACATTCCTGCCCATGGCTGAGGGACAGAAGATGCTGTAGCCAACTCCTGCTCATCTCCAGCCACCCACCCCTCTTCTCAGCTGCCTTTGGTGTGCACAGCCCCAGCCCATGAGTGCATGGCTGAGTGAGCACACAGGTGAAACACAGGAGGAGAAAGACCCTGGATGAAGGGCAGTGACTTGGGGGTGGGGGGAAAGCCCATGGAAGTCTCCTTGGAGAAGCAGACTTTGGGATGCAGCACGGGAGTGTGTGAAACACGGTGCCTTGGGGAAAAGGTGGGTTAATAACTTCAAAATAGCTCTGGCTCTCTTGCACTTTAGAGTAACTTTCAGTGGCCTTACGTCTGAGATGTGTCAGTGTTTGGTGAGGGCAGAATCTGGACCCCTTTGCAATGTGGGTATTGGTGCTGGTGTGTTCTGGCTTCCCTGTGGATGAAGCAGGATCAGGTCCTAGCCAACTTTCAGCTCTGCCAAAGTAATTTGTGAAGTCCCTGATAAATGTCACTTATTTATGTAGTAAAATAAATGTTGGACGACTCTGGCCCCTGCTGTTCATCTCTGTTCTTCTGCTGTACCGCAGGTGACACCCCGGCCATCAGAGCTGAGAGACACAGGGATCTCTTTGCAGGTCCTCACCTCCCACCCAAAATTGTGGCACAAGACATTACTGACTTTAACAGAAACCCACCTTAGTGGCATCACCAGATTGGAGGTTGGGCTGCAGCTTGATTCACTCTCACCTTTATTTTGGCTCCACCTTTGTACTGGTGAAATATCTTGAGCCCGTGGCCATCAAATTTCCATTTATGTGGGTTTTTAGTTAGGAGCTATATAGGGTTTATTTCTGTGAGCCTGACCAAAAATGCTGGAATTAAGGGTAGGTATGATGGCACCTCCTCACATCCCTAAAGCCTCTTTAGCTGCCAGGCACAGCCCTTTTTAACACAGGTCTGCTGCTGAACTTTTGGAAGATGTCTCTTGGCATCTCCATTATTTCAGATTTAGTTTTTCCACTGTAACAGCTATGACAGGATGTGCTTCCTCAGGGGTGAAATGAATCTCTCCTCCTCCACATGGCTGTCCTTGCACAGCTGACACCACCCTGAGGTGCTGAGCCCGAGGGCTGTGTGGTTGTGGGTGGCTCAGCTCAGGTCCTTGGCTGCCCAGCAGGACAGAGTCACCTCCCAGTGTCCAAGTGGGTGACTCACATGGCAAAACCCGGTGACTCTGCACTGCCCTCCTGACTTGGATACTCCAGGAGTGAAAATAGCCCATTCACTAAGGATCTATATTTACCCAGCAGCTGCATCTGCTGAAGCTGCCAGAAAGAGCTAATCTTAGACACCACCCCAGCCAGAACTGTTAGACACAGTTCAGGGGAGATCTTGGGTTTTGCCCTCCTTTACCTGAAGTTGTCCCCTCAGTGTCACTACTCTGACAAGCCCAGGAGGTCTGGTGAGCCAGGAGCACCCTGGTGCTCTCTCAGGCAGCTCAACCTTGCACAGGAGACCCTCAGCCTCACTGAACGCCACTCTAGCATGGGATATATCCACTCCTCATCTCTCTCCTGAAGAAGAGCATCTCATCATGTCTGGTTATTGGTTTTTTTCCCACAAAACTCACACAAGAAGCCAAGAAAAGCAATTATTTACTACAATTACAAATCCCAATTAACAGCCCTACACTGGACGCTTTCTTGATCAGCCTGATGTGACTACAATTCCTGCATTCACCTTCCTTGTCCTAAAATTTTGTGTGGGAAGGAGTGATCCTGCTGCATCCCTTAGGATGCTTTCCATGTATCCTCACTGTCATGGTTTAATCCCAGCTGGCAATTAAGTGCTACACGGCCTGTCATTCACTCCCCCTGCACCCTCCTCACCCCCATGGGGAGGAAAATTGGAAAGAAAAGAAAAGGTAAACAGGTAAACCTTGTGTGAGATAGGAACAGTTTAATATTCGAAACAAAAGATGATGATGATAATGATAATAATAATAATAGTAACAGAACCCAGGAGAAACAAGTGATGCACAATACAATTACCACCCACTGACTGATGCTCAGCCTGTCTCCAAACAGCAATTGGCCCCCTCCTGGGTAACTTCCACAGTTTTATGTACTGGGAATGGCATTCTTTGGTATGGAATATCCCTCTGGCCAGTTCAGGTGAGCTCTCCTGGCCATGCTGCTTCCCAGCTTTTTGTGCAACCCCTCGTTAGCAGAGATTGAGACACTGGTAAATCCTTCACTTAGGGTGAGAACTGCTCAGCAAGAGCCAAAATGGCAGGGTGGGTGTCAACATTGCTCTCATCCTAAATCAGAAAACACAGCACTGTAGCAGCTACTAAGGAAGCAAACAAACTCTCAGCCAACACCAGGACATTCACCTGCTCCCATGGGGCTGTTGCCCACTTAGGAACACACTTAATAACTGATTTAGTCCATTGATCGTTGGAAATCAGTGGCTGTATCCTTGTCAGATCTGGGGGACACAGTGCTTGGGCTGCTTCCCCAAGCCTTGGAGCTGGTTCAGCTGCTGTGCAAAGTCACTGAAACCAGTGGAGACCCCAGAGCAGGTCTGGGACCAGCACAGTGCCCTTTCCCTGGGTGAACCATGAACCCAAGAGATGCCAGAGACCCACTAATGGGTCAGAGCTCCTCCAGGAAGGGATGGGCTGTAGCTGCACTTTAGCAGCAGCACCTTGTGATGCACAGAATATGGAGGCAAAAGTCAGGATGCAGCACAGCAAAAAGGAAAACAACCCGGGGCTCAAGGGAGATTAAAGGCAGAGGGAGGGGGAGTGGTGGAAATCCCAGCTGGTAGCACAACAACACAGGATTAAACTTGGGATAGAGCAGAGCTAATGCAGAGGGAGGGCAGAGGGGAGGGTTGGGGTGTCCAGCCCCAGATGTCAAGGGAGCAGAGAAGGATTTCTGAAGTTCGACCCAGTTCAAAGATTGGCACCCAGTGTTTGATCCCGTCACAGATGAGCAGCACAGCAGAAGATCTTATGATGTGAGCTCTGAAAACAGCTTGTGATTATTTTCCTGCTATATTGGTACCTCTCAGATGGTGCTGGAACCACACCAGTACAAAAGGGATTCATACCAGTATAGCTCCCTCCCTCTTCCCACTTATGCAGATGATCATCATGGCAATTTTTATAAATACATCCCTGCCAGGGTAAGGGGTTATGTGGCTTTAAATACACCAAGAATAGTGGCTAATATCTCTGCATAGGCTTAATTAAATCATTAATTAAATCTGTGCCATCACTGAGTGTCAGGCAGCCCGGAGGATCCACAGTGAAAGATAAAACAGATTCATGTATAAGTTTTACTATAGGTATAAATAATTAGAGCTGCTCTGCTTGCCCATGTCTGTCAAAAATAATATGCTTCTTTGTGAGCTCCATGGGAAGAGATGGAGCTGGAGTGGCCATCTGGGGACCCGTGGGGCTTCCTAGACCTCCATAGGCACGGAAGAAGGACACAAGACCTGCTGGAGAACTCAGCCATTCTGGATCATCAGCTCAGGTTGATGACCCAGCTCTGGATCATCAGCTCTGGATCATCAGCTCAGGTTGAACTACTGTTTTTCTAGACTTCATCATGGGCGTGTTGAATCAGAAGAGCTCAGCAGGAGACCCTCAGTTTACTAGAAGGTACTTGTGTATAGATGTGTTAATCCGTGAGCTGAAGCCCCTTGTTGCATTTCCTTTACTTCTCTTCTGCCTCAGACACTCTGTCTGTCACCAAGATGTGGAAAAGATGAATTTATTGATGACAAGGTGCCCAGAGACTGTGCCAGTGGGGCCCATGCACATATTACAGAATCACAGAACCATTTAGGTTGGAAAAGACCTCCGAGATAGTCAAGTCCAACCCGTGACTGAACACCACCATGTCAACCAGACCATGACACTAAGTGCTACATCCAGTCTTTCCCTAAACACCTCCAGGAATGGGAACTCCACCACCTACTGCAGGGAAAGAGAACCATCCCTCTCCCCCAGTTCTCAAATCTCCTCCTCTAGTGAGTTTTTTTAGGTAACTTCCAGCACAGGCCTCGTATCCCATACAGAGCTGTAAATAAACAGCCCTATCTCCATTTTCCACCCCCTTCCAGACTCCTGAAAAGTGACTCTAGAGAAGAATAAAGGACAAACCTGTGCAGCAAAGCATCCCTGGGAGGGATCTGGCTGGAGCTGGGGATGCCACAAAGCCCACATAAGACGCTCCCTTAACGCATCTTTCCAGCTTTGACTTCAATGCCTATTTTTAGCACGCAGCCAAAGGTTTGGCAGTTTGGGAGCAACCCCTTTAGAGCTGTCAGGAGAAAGTCTCAGCTCTGCCGTCCGTGACCCAGAGGGCAGATTTGGGTGTTTGATCACCCCGAGGCCGTTCCCCAAGCGCGGGACGGGTCTCGCGCGTGTCCCCCGCCCGTGTCACGGCAGCGACGGCTCCCGCTCCCCCCGCGGTGACTCACGAGCTGACAGACCCTTCCTGAATTACTGGGGCTGGAATTACAGCTGTTCCCCCGGGCCCCCCTCCCTTCCTCCTCGTCCTATGTGTCATATTAAAGGGTGATCGGCTTACACATGCTGCAGTATGGATTCCTTAAGCTCTGCAGCGCCGGGTCTATATATAAAGCCCTGCCCTGGAAGCTGAAGTACACAGACAGCTGCAGTAGTAGCAAGAGCTTCACATTCCCGGTGTGCCATTGGTCTGGAAGCAAGGGAGGCTGAGAGCCCTGCTTTGAGCAAGTTTCTTTCCCAGGGGCTCAGGTATATCCATAAATATATCTCTGTAAAAGAAGGACTGGGGGAAAGGACGAGCGGCCGCTCCTCGCCATGGGTTTGCCTCTTGATCAAGTGGAAGAATTGCGACTCTACCAGCAAACTCTTCTCCAGGATGGGCTCAAAGACATGTTGGACCACAATAAGTTTCTGGACTGTGTCTTGAAAGTCAAAGGGAAGGAGTTTCCCTGCCACCGGCTGGTGCTGGCAGCCTGCAGCCCGTATTTCCGAGCCATGTTCCTCTCGGACATGGAAGAGAGCAAGAAGAGGGAGATAAGCTTGGAAGACGTCGATCCGGACGTCATGGGCAAGATCCTCCACTACATCTACACCTCGGAGCTGGAGATCACGGAGCAGAACGTGCAGGACATCTTCTCCGTGGCCAACATGTTCCAGATCCCCTCCATCTTCACCGTGTGCGTGTCCTTCCTGCAGAAGAGGCTGTGCCTCAGCAACTGCCTGGCCATCTTCCGGCTGGGGCTGATGCTGGACTGTGCCCGGCTGGCCGTGGCCGCTCGGGATTTCATCTGCGACCGCTTCGCGCTGGTCTCCCGCGACGAGGAGTTCTACCAGCTCTCCCCCGACGAGCTCATCGCCATCATCTCCAGCGACTCCCTCAACGTGGAGAAAGAGGAGACCGTCTTTGAAGTGGTGGTGAAGTGGGTGGGGACCAAGGACTGCGAGAGCCGGCAGAAGGCCCTGCCTGTCGTCTTCGAGAGCATCCGCTTCCGCCTCATGCCCAACGACTACATCAGGGACCACGTGGAGAAGCACAACGTGGTGAAGTCCAGCCCCGAGCTCCTCAAGAAGCTGCAGATGGTGAAGGATGCCCAGAAAGGCAAATTCACTGTGGTGAAGAAGAAGAAAGTGAAGAAAACCAGTGAAAATCAAACAAAGGATAATGTTGTCAACGGAGCAGTAGATGAGGAGGAAGACACGGAGGAGGATGCTCTCCCTGGGATCTTAAATGACACCATGCGCTTTGGGATGTTCCTCCAGGACCTTATTTTCATGGTGAGCGACAGTGGGGCAGTGGCCTATGATCCCAATGCCAACGAGTGCTATTTTGCCTCCCTGTCCACTCAAATCCCAAAGAACCACGTCAGTCTGGTGACCAGAGAGAATCAGATCTTCATTGTTGGAGGACTGTACTACAACGAGGACAGCAAGGAGGATCCCATGAGTTCCTACTTCCTACAGGTACTACCTTTTATCTTTCTGTTGTTTCTTGGACCACTTTGGAACACCACCAGCTTTTCTGTGTTGTCAGTAATATTCCTTGTCATGTGATGTTAGAATGAAAGTTTTAAGTGAAGGAGAAGCACCTGAGTTGCTTTACTAGAGATTCCTCTCCCTGTGTTTTTAAGGCAGATCCCACTGAGGGGTGGTTCTGGTAGTAGAGGAAGGAGGGTTGAAGGAGCAGGTAACAGGGACAAACCTTCCTGATCCAAATCCTGAATAGGGCACTGTTTAGAGCAGTGAGTTTGGTCCAACCCTACTTACCATGGGGCACATGGAGTAGAAAGTTAGTGGCACGAGGTCTGTGTTCTGCTTTGTATCCCTTGCATTATCTGGTCATGAAACCCCTGGAAAACCCAAGAGTGATTCTGCCAGGTGCCAGAAAACAGGAGCAGCAGCAGATACATCCATGGAGCAAAACACCCCAAGCACACAGGGTGTGCCCCTGCCTGCCAACATGTGCCCCATTTCTAGTGCTGCTCTTGCCCCTGAAGGTGGGTTTGTTCCAGCTCACTCTGCACCTTGGCCATTTCCATCCTGTGAGGGGGAAACCACAGTGTGATGTCTTTTGGGATACTCCTCAAGGAAGGTGGCTGTTCCAGTTCAGCAGTGACCAAAGCTGTGACTGGACTGAGCTATGTACAGGCAACCTGAGCCCCAGCCTGGGCTGTGACCCAGGAGCACTTTCCCTGTAGACAGCAAACTCAAGGCACCCTTCCTGCTGACCCTGAAGAATCCAGGAAATCCTCTACTCTTCCTCCCATCCCCAGAAATCCTTCTGTTCTTCTCCATGGCTCACATCTTTTGGGAAAAAAACAACATGTCCAGGCAGAAAGGGTAAAATGAGGGTAGTTCCCAAGCTGAGACATCCAGCCTTGATCGCTCCCTTGCCTTGTTGTGTGGGTAGGTCTGTCCATCTGCATCATGTGTGCAGGGACAGGCTTGTCCTCACCTGGAGAGGGTCAAGAGGCTGTGAAATAAGCTGGAGCAGGGTGAAGCCTGTGAAATAAGAAGCCAGCAGGAAGAGCCCCCATCCCTAGAAAGCAGGATGGAGTGGGAAGGCTGTGGGAGTGCCAGGGATGTGCTATTTGAGGCACGACCCTTCACACTGGGCAGTGGAGGATGACAGAGGTGTGGCCAACTCCATCACTCACCTGTGCAGAGAAGGTAGATGGGCTGCTTTGTATTCAGCCCAAACCTGTGCCTAAAGATTAATGTTCCACCAGCCTTGTTGCTGCTCAGGTGAGGTAGTTCCTTGGAGCAGAGAAGGTCCATTTTGTCCTGGGTTATTTCAGCACAGCTGAAACAAGCAGGTCAAGGGAAGGGATTTTTTTCTTTCCCTTCAGTCACACACTTGTGAGGCCATATCTGGCTGCTGTGTCCAATGTGGGGCTCTCCAGCATGCAGGAGACACTGAGGTACTGGAATGGGTCAGCAGAGGCCACCAAGATGGGTAGGGCTGCAGAGCAGGAGGTAGAAGAAGAGGCTGAGCCTTGTGTGATGATCCTGGAGAAGGGAGAGGGAAGATCTCACTGGTGTCTGCAGCTCCCAATTTTGAGGAGACACGGAGGAGTGATCCATACTCTCCTTGGATTTGCACAAAGGTGAGACAAGAGGCAATGGCTACTGGGTGCAGGAACTGAAATATCAGCTTGCTGTGAGGAAAAATCTTCCCAAGGGGGTTGGAGCAGTGCAGGAGCAGGGTCCAGAGAGGTCACAGAATCTCCACAGAATCATAGAATGGCTTGGGTTGGAAGGGACCTCAAACATCATCCAGTTCCAACCCCCTGCCATGGGCAGGGACACCTTCTACTAGACCAGTTTGCTCCAAGCCCCATCCAACCTGGCCTTGAACGCTTCCAGTGAGGCAACATCCTTGGAAACACTTCATATTTGATAGCAAAAATCCCTGGTGAATCCCACTCTAACCCCAAAACTGAGCCTGCTTGAACATGGGGGCTGGATGAAGACCTTTGGAAGTCCATTCAACCCGAAGTACTCTGTGGTTCTAAGCTACCAACAGCAGGATTTCCACATTCAGCTCCCAATTTGCCACTGACTCAGTGGCAGAGGCTTTGGGCATCATGGGGGCACTTTTAGCTCCTTCCACACAAGAAGGGGACAGTGGTCCCTCCACACCTCACTGTGGCACCTGTTCTTGGGAGAGTCCTGGGCTTGGAGAGTGCCATCAGTTTGCAAAGATGTCATTTATTGCATCAGTGTTGTTATGTAGCTCATGGTTCCTGTGTAAGGGTCTTTTGAGCCTTTTTTTCCAGCTGAAATGACAAATGTAGATAGGCAGCTGTAAGACAAACCCTTGAACCACTGTGTAGCAGCTCCCTACACCTTCTGACTGTTTCTATCCTCCCCAGTTTCACATTCCTCCCCTTAAAGCCAGGACTGCCAGGTCAGGGATAGTTTAGATTTAAGGACAGGCACCAAAATATAAAAATGCTGATAAATCCCAGGGGCCTTGCAGATTTTGGCAGGAGCAAAACGATTCCATTGACATCTCAGATGGAAAAGGGTGTCCTTTCTTTGTCATTTCCAAGATTTATGACTCGTAAACAACGCTGAGTCCATCAAGAAGGAGGAACTATCCTGATGGCTGAGCTGCTCGGGTTTGCACTATAAATAACACAAATGTGGACTACAGCTTCAAAGGAGACCAAAAACCACAGGCACCCAGCTGAGGCCAAGCTTTAGAGCCAACCCATCAGGCTGAAGCTCTTTGGCCTGAGCCCACAGCAAACAGCACTCCAGGCAGTGCAGCATCACAGCTTCATCTTGCAGAGTCCCACAGAATTGGCTGCAAGACATCCCTCCCTCCTCTGCTACCAAGCTGCATTAAAAATTTCTGCCCCAGTTTACGGTTCCCATCAAACCACAGTGCTCAGAGAGCCCTTTTATATTTTTTTTTTTTTTGTGGTGGGAGATGAGACAATGATCTGCAGATGTCCAAGGATCTGGTGACCTGATCCAGCAGCACTGTATGGATCAGCTCTCTCATCTATCAGATGGCTCTGACACACTGTAGCTGTGCTGCCAACAGTGTTGACACCACACTGTTGCCTGGCAGAGATGGAAGATATCAGGGTAGAATACCATGGAGTGCCCTACAACTGAAAAGGTTTGGGCAAAATTTTTAAAATTGAAATGCTTCAGCTCCTTTAGTCCCAGGAACTGTCCATTATAGGTCCAACACGGAATTCTTTCACCCAAAGATGAACTAACCTTGTTCCAAGTTCCAAGTTTGAAGAGGAGGCTCAGGGCAGACCTTGTTGCTCTCTAAAACTCCCTGACAGGAGGTTGTAGCCAGGTGGGGGTCGGGCTCTTGTCCCAGTGGACCAGTGATAGGACAAGAGGAGATGGTCTCAAGCTGTGCCAGAGGAGGTTCAGGTTGGACATCAGGAGGAATTTCTTCCTGGAAAGGGTGGTCAGGCATTGGAAGGTGCTGCCCAGGGAGGTGGCAGAGTCCCCATCCCTGGAGGTGTCCAAGGAAGGACTGGATGTGGCACTCAGTGCTCTGGGCTGGGGGACAAGGTGGGGATGGGTCACGGGCTGGACTCTGTGGCCTCAGAGGTCTTTTCCAACCTTGATGATTCCGTGATTCTATAAAGTCAAGGCTTTGGTAAATAGAGCAGAACAAGTTCATGCTGGCTTGTCTCTTACCATAAAAAACCATATCACGTGGTACAAGACTTGAGTTTGCTCCAAATCTCCCATCCTGCCCCAGGTGGAAGGGCACAGGCACACTGTGCCATGGGGTGACCAACCTGCCCCTGGGGATGGACTTTGCCCTCAGCCTGTGGACCCTGGCTTTTGCTAAGCAAAGGGGCTGGGTGATCACACACTAATGGCCATATGTTCCCTTCCAGTACGACCATCTGGACGCAGACTGGCTGGGGATGCCCCCCCTGCCCTCCCCTCGCTGCCTCTTTGGCCTGGGAGAGGCAGAAAACTCTATTTTTGTGGTCGGAGGGAAAGAACTGAAGGAGGGGGAGAAGACTTTGGACTCTGTGCTGTGCTACGACCGGCTGTGAGTGCCCGCGGGCGGGGAGGGAGGGGGTTTGGAGGAGAAGGTGAAGCAGCTGCCTGAAAAAAATGACTCCAGGTCTCCAGGGGTCAAAAGGTTTTGGAGGCAGGGCTTGAACTCTTTATCTCAATGCTGGGACCTCTGGGACTGTCTTGAGCTGTGCCCTGGGGCCTGGAGCTGTCACACTCCAGCTGCTCCTCTTGTTGTGATTGAACCTCCTGGAGATGGAAGCTCTAATGGGGATGTTATGATATCAGGGACTGATATCAGTAGATGATCATGTGAGACCTGTACAGGAGGAGTTTTTCCCTCTGCTCTTGAAGGTTCAGTGGCATTCGCTGGGATCTCACCAGGAGTGGTTTGAACGGGAAAGTCAGTTTTTAAAATGTTCAGATGTGGCACTGAACAGCTCAACCTGATTGATGTCAGGCTTAATATCCACTCATTTTTGGACAATGGGCTCTAACCCACACTGGGTCATGAGCTTTATTAAAAGGCACCATCCTGTTCTGCTCTCAGGAGACAGAAACATCCAAAGCCTGCCCCAACAGGAGGAGTAGGAGATGTCAACAAGTCTTTATTTCATCTATATTTAGATATGTGTGCTCCTAACTCTGTTTTTTAGGCAGAGGTTTGAAACCAGTTTCATTCCCACAGAAAAGGGGATTTATCTGCCCCTGCAGGCTCTGGGAAAGGGTATGTCTGCCCTTGCTAAGTGCTCAGGGGGTGGTTTGAATATCCATTTGAAGCTGGTGGAGATGTGATTGGCACCACTTTATCTCTAGTATCCTTTGATTGATATTATTCTGGCATTATTTTGATTGGCAGCAGCTGAACATGAGCCCATGTGTGCCCAAAAGGTGGGCAAAAAGGCCAGTGGCATCCTGGCCTGTATCAGGAACAGTGTGGCAGCAGGACCAAGGAAGTGATTGTCCCTCTGTGCTGGGCACTGCTGAGGCACCTCAAATCTTGTGGTCAGTTTTGGGTCCCTTGTGACAAGAAAGATTGAGGTGCTGGAGCATGTTCAGAGAAGGGAATGGAGCTGGGGAAGGGTCTGGAGCACAGGTCTGATGAGGAGCAGCTGAGGGGGCTGAGGGTGTCTTGACTGGAGAAAAGGAGGTTCAGGAGGGACCTTCTTGCTCTGCACAACTCCCTGACAGGAGGGGGGAGCCAGGTGAGGGTTGGGCTCTGCTCCCAGGGAACAAGTGACACCATGACAGCAAATGGCCTCAAGTTGCACCAGGGGAGCTTTAGATCCGATATTACGGAAAATTTCTGCTCTAAAATAATGGCCAGGCAGTGGAACAGGCTGCCCAGGGCAGTGGTGGAGTCAGCATCCCTGGAGGGATTTAAAGAACATGTAGATGTGTCACTTGGGGACATGGTTTAGGGGTGGACTTGGTTTTAAATTTTTTCCATCATGCAGCTGGTAATGCTTGTAAATGAGGTGAGGTCCTGGGAAAAGTGGGGCTGTGTGTCCACAAAGCTCAAGAGGACGGGATACTGCAGAAAACAATAATTACCATAAATATTCTGCATATTTTATTTCCTTTTTTTTTTCCCAGGACCACAAAATTTACTGGGTGAGCCTTGTCTCATTGAATTCTATCTCATTATGTGGTTTTTTTGGGGTTGTTCTGTGCAGAGCCAGAAGTCAGACTTGACAATCTCTGTGTGGGTCCCTTCCAGCTCAGGATATTCCATGATTCTATGGAAACCTCGTATTTTTGAGGCTGAGTCAGGAGCTGTGCTCACATCTGAGTGGTGAAAGTGCCACGTGCTGTAGTGTCACCCAGCAAGCCACAAATCCCTTTGCCTCCCACCTTTCTCTGATCCAGGTCCTTCAAGTGGGGTGAAGCTGATCCCCTCCCCTACGCGGTCTATGGCCACGCCGTGGTGTCACACAAGGACCTTGTCTACGTCATCGGAGGCAAAGGAAGTGACAAGTAAGTCAAAAAAGCAGGAGGAATTCAAGAATTCACCTCCCCAAGGAGTGGGAGTGCAGAGCACGAGTTGGTACCTCCCCAACATGGGTTAAGGAGGTTGTGTGGGGCGTGTGAGATGTGGATCCTTCACTCCCAGCTTACCCTTGTGCCTGCAGGCCTTCACAAGCCCCACAGGGACATCAGGGAGATGGCAGTGTCCTGGCAGGAGAGGGAATGTACTGCCCAACCCCTGGCCAGGCTGGGTGGTGCTTTAAGCAAACCTGGTCTGCTGGGAGGTGTCCCTCCCCATGGCTGGGGGGTTGGAATGAGACGAGCTTTAAAGATCCTTCCAATTTAAACTATTTTATGATCTATGATCCTCTTTGCTCACAAAAAAAAAAAAAAGTCACACTGGAGAGCAAGAAACCCCTTCAAATTAAAGGTCTCCTCTCTTGGACCTGTGGAGCAGAGTGGTCCCAGGAGTCAAATCCAGAGGTGTATTTGCAACAGGAGTGAAAAACCTCATTCAGCCTGCCCCACATCCTGCCCTCCTGCAGGAGACAGGCTCAAGCAGGAGAAGCCTCTCTTGGGGAGCATTGCAGGGCATGAGTATGACTGTTTGCAGGGCAAACAGGCCATAATCCAGGAAAGATAGGAAGGATTGTGGTCTGAAAGGTGTGAACGTGCCTCCACTCACACCACCAGTCTGGGGACAGGGACGTTACTGATGATATTTCACAGCATCAGGGTGGATCAGGAGCACTGGAACACTGTCTGGATGGCTGTGTGTGAGCTCCTGAGGGGCTGTTGGCTACACGGACCCATATCCAGGGTTATGAGCACATGTGGAGCTTTCAGGACTCCCACCCAAAGTGGGCACAGCAGGAGGGGATATGTTACACACATAAGTGATGACTCCAGGCATGGACACCCCAAGTATCCTCCATTTGTGCTGATGTGGAGCAAAACCCTCTCTAGAAACCCCATGTTCTTCCCAGCAGACACCCCAAAACTCCTGCAGGGCAAAACCCACCACTTGGCAGGCGATTGATGCTCCTTTTCCCCTCTCACCTTTCTCCAGGAAGTGCCTGAAGAAGGTGTGTGTCTACAACCCATCCAAGTTTGAGTGGAAGGACATGGCTCCCATGAAAACTGCCCGCTCCTTGTTCGGGGCCACCGTGCACAAGGACAAAATCTACGTGGCCGCCGGTGTGACCGACTCTGGCTTGACCAACTCGGTGGAAGTCTATGACATTGCCACCAACAAGTAGGTCCTGAGCACACCTCGGGGTGTGGTTACACCAGGAGCAGCTGCAGGTGTACATTGACCAACTCACAGCCGTCCTGGAGTCTGCTTGTGACTCCTGATTCCAGTTCCTCCAGTCTGTATGTCATGGCAGGGGAGCTGGAAATAGATAATCTTTAAGGTCCCCTCCAAACCAAACCAGAGTCTAGGATTCCTCAGAGAGCTGGGCATCACCAATGTCACTGTGGTTGGGCTGTGGATCATCTCAGGCTCATCTTTAAAGTGGTTTCACCAACTGGTGCCATCCCTGCGGGGCTGTAGCTTCCTCCTGGCAGCTTCACCCAACGCAATAAACTCTCTGATTTTGGGTGGCTCTTGCAGCACTGGGACATTCTCTCAGCACTGGGACGTTCTGGTCCATGCCCAATGTGCTTCACAGGCTGTGTACTCAATGCACAATGAAGTTGAACCGTGATGATGGAAACAGCTGTCCCTAAAACCAGCCAGGGTATGATCCCATCCCACGCAGACCTGCACAAGTTAACCTGTGAACTCAGTTGTCGTTTCCTGATTTGCTGGGGGTAGCCAGGCTGCTCTAACATGTCCCCTCTCCTGATGTGGCAGGTGGGACACGTTCACAGAGTTCCCACAGGAGCGCAGCTCTGTCAGCCTGGTCAGCCTGTCTGGGGTGCTCTACCTGCTCGGAGGATTCGCCACGGTGGAGACGGAGTCGGGAGAGCTGGTGCCAACGGAGCTCAACGATGTTTGGAGGTGATGGTCTTCCCCAGGGCTGTCCAAGGCAGCATGGGAGGGATGTTAGTGATGGAACAGATGGTTTCTGTCTTTCTGGGTGCCGTCAATATGAGACGGAGGTTGCGACCCCAGCACAAGGCTGCAGGCTCAGCGCAGGGTCTCTGAGTGGGGAGTTTGCCCTGTGCTGTGCTGGAGGGCACACTGGGGAGCTCAGTGATCTCTCCCAGCCTCAAACAGCAACGTACCAGGGAAAACTCTTCCTTTGGCTTTGTTGCTGAGTTGACATTTCGCCTGGAGGTGGTTCCAGCCTCCCCTTTGGTGTGGAGCAGCATCTGTGCGATGCATCCTCTCCCTGGGAACAGCCAGTGCTGGGGCTGGGAAGCAGATAGTCCTGGCTGGGAAGCAGATAGTGTTACATGTGAGCAGAGAAGAGGGCAGGAAGCACTCAGTGACAGCTGCTCACACAGCATTAGCTGCTCCTGTCTCTCATATCAGTGCTGCAGCACCCTCAGCAGGAACCCGCTGTCCTTCACCATGATGTTCCATCTTGGTACCATCAAAACGTTTCCTAATGAAAAAAACACCCTCTTCCCTGTGAGACCAGGTGCTGACATCCACATTCCGAGCCTGGCATTACCAACCAGGGCTGAAAGTCCCCATGCAGCCCCCCCAAGATTCCTGTGGCCAAATAATACTGGTGGGGTGTCACACCCTGCACCGGGGCTCCCGCCACCATGGAGAGCAGCTGAAAGGAGGGAGAGGAGACACTTTCCTCACTGTAACTCTGTCTCTCGCCAGGTATGATGAGGAGCAGAAGAAGTGGGAAGGGGTTCTCCGGGAGATCCAGTACGCCTCCGGTGCCACGTTCCTCCCCGTGCGCCTCAATGTCTTGCGTCTCACAAAGATGTAGGGATTTGTCATTTTTCCATGGTGGGGGGGGGGGGTCTGGGGCAAGGAAGGATGGGGGGGAGAGAGGTGATGTTTATCAGGGATATGGCATCTGGATGCTGTGTAGGACATTGCATCTGTGACTGGGACTTTTTTACTTAGATGGGAAATGGGGAAACGATCTTGAAGCTCTGTGGGAATTTAAAGATGCTCTCAAGGTAATTAGAGGAAGGATCTGGAGCCTGGAAGGAGATGGGAGAGGCTGAGAAAAACAGAGCAATGTGTTATTCCTGTCTCAGTAGGCAGGACAAATGGAAGTTTCAATTCTTTCTTCATGTTTTTCCCCATCTTTTCAACTGCTGTTACACCTCCCTTACCAGGCAGAAAGCAGGTCTCAATGGACTCAGTTAACATTCCCCAGGGAAAAGGGTCTATAAAATATTTCCCCTCCTAAGCTGTGAGCATTGTGCTAGAGCCCCCCTTGGAGAGGAGAAGGAAGGGTCAAAGTCAAGCGGTACAGGAGAGACCCAGGTGGAATTTGATGAGTTCCTGAGTGATGAGGGTTGTTGGGATGAGACAGTTAAAAGGAACGAGCATGTGAGCAGCAGAAATGCTCTGAAAGTTGCAATGAAAAGAAAACAGTCAAGTAATCTTAGTTCCTTGCCTCCACTTTGACTTCGGAGTGAAGAGAGGTCGGGAGCTGAGCCTGCAGGAGGGGAGGAGTCGTGCAAGTAGTAGGGTGGGAGAGAGGGAGAGATGGGCAGGGGAGGCCCTGTATGCTCATCTCCAGCCTTTTGCCTTCCTCATCTTCAATCCCAGATCACAATGTCCTCACCTGTGGATGGACAAGTGCTGTTTTTTTTTAGGGAAAGGTTTTATATTTTTGCTGTTTCTCTTTTCCTTTTAATAGTCAAACCTTTTTTTTTTTAAAAGAGTATTTCACTTTGCAGATGTGTTTGGCTCAAAGAGAGCTTCCTACAAGTGAAAAATGCACATTTATCTTAAAGTTATCCATAATGATGTTTTGATAGAAACACTACTGTACTGGCAGCAGGACAAAGATCTGCTAGAGCAAAGATCTCCTGATGCCCACACCACCTGACCAGTGGTTCATTTGAAAATAAATGTGACTATTTCAAAAGAAGTCCCCTGTGTTTGTATGTTGGGAGAGCTGAAACTGAAGTTTCACAGCAACCAAAGACCAAACAAAAGTTGTGATAAGCACACCCAGCCCCATCTCTTATTGTGCTTATTTTCCCCCATTTGAGAGCTGAAACTTTAGCTTTGTATCCTTAAAGATCTTTTCTATGGATACAAGGACTAGAAGCTTACCTAGGACTAGAAGGCAGATGGATATCTACAGGGACAGGCTGAGAGGAAAGAGCCTCAAGTTGTGCCAGCTTTAAATTGGATATCAGAGGGAAAAAATTTCACAGAAAGGGTTGTAAAGCATTGGAACAGGCTGCCCAGGGAAATGGTAGAGTCACCATCCCTGGAAGTGTTCAAAAAATACTTGGATATGGCACTTCAGGACATGGATTAATGGTGAACATGGTGGTGGTGTTGGGTTGATGATGATGATCTTAAAGGTCTTTTCCAACCTTAATGATTCCATGATTCTATGATCTCATGATACCATGAATAGGGATGATAATCAATAATAAAAATTAAAAGAAAACCCAAAAAACAAACACAAACCTTTCAAAATAATTTCCTCAAAGTGATATGAAAATTCTAGTGTTACAAATCATACCTGGCTCATTCATCTGGCTCAAAACGTAGGCATGGAGAAACTAAAACATGTTTGGAAGGAAGGAGAAGTACAGCAACCAGAGAGAGCCTTGTCCTGGTTTCATTTTAAGGATTTAAAAAAGTTACAGGATAAGCTCCTTAGAGGACAATCACATCAGAACAGTAATGAAGTCTTTTCACAAGAAAAAGAAATCCAAGGTGACTGGCTGTCACAAAATAGCTTTAAAGAAAAAAAAAAAAAGGAACAAAAACCCTTGAAACAATCAAATGTGTGAAAAATGCATTGCAAAAAAAATTAAACACCTTCTGCCCTGCTCTGCAGAAATTCCTGTGGACAACTCTCAAGCTAATTAAAGATCAATCTTCCAAATAGCTTGTGGCAGAAAAGAAAAAAATAAGAAGAATTTAAAAAAAATAATCCCTGCGTAGAATATCAATTTTTAAGGTCATTTATTGCTGTGGCAGTTACGTCCTGCTTGGGACTGGACACCCACACCATCCCTGGAATTGTTCAAGGAATGAGTACACGTGGCACTCTGTGCTCTGCTTTGGCTGACACGGTGGGGATTGGTCAAAGGTTGGACTCCATGACCTTGGAGGTCTTATCCAACCTTAATGATTCCATGACCTTTGCTTCAGCTCTCCTTGCTGGATGCAGACTGGGAAGCTGTTGACCCTGGGTCCTAAGAGAGGGTTAATCCACATTCACCTGCTGCCGACGTTTCTTGGGTCTCCTGGGGGAAATCTGGGCCCTCTGAAGCCAACAGGAGAATGTTGCTGAGCTTCCACGGGTTGTTATGCTGTGGTCCTTTATAAAAGGCTTGAGAAGTTGCAAATAAAACAGGTCCCCATCCTTGGTTGCTCACCTCACACCCCTCCATCAGGAACACAGGCAATGGGAGCTTGGTGCTCTCGTGTGGTTCACATCCATTATAAAGCTGTGGAGATGCCACCACTGGCACAGAGCAGGAAACCATAAAAGGCAAAGTAACTGTTGTATGAAAGGACCCAGAAGAGCTTGAAATATCCCACTGCTTGAGCAACCAGGACCAAATCTCAGCAGGTGCAAGCCAGTGTTGGCCCCAGGAAGGAGGGAAAGCTGGACATCACCAAGCAAAATTTGGCCTGGAGATGTTCCTCCACCTCTCAAACAAGCTGCATCAGTCCAAAGGCAATCACAGATTAGAAATGCCACCAGGAATACTCAGATAGGTGTCAACCCTTGCTGCTATCTGGTGTTTTCCAGGCTCAGATGCAACAGCTCCAGTGGTACAGGTCCCCATGGGTATCTGCAGCAGCAAAGGAGTAGGTACATCCAAAGGGTGAGGGAAAATCATCTCTTCTTCCATTAGTTTCCCAATATCAGTGCTGGTGTTGCTGGTGAGGTTCCCACGTCTCCAATTTAAACTAATAAAGGCACTGAGTGCTTTTGGATGGGTTCCTTGGTTTCTCCACTGCGAATAGAGGAGCTCAGAGAGCCTCAGCTCATAGTTCACACAAACCTCATGGAGCCAAGTAGGACCCAGAAGCTCAGCCCTCAGCCCTATAACACCCTTAGGGGCCATAATCCCTGAATCCTTTCCACTACCCCCTCACCACCCTTCCCTGAAAAGCTACTTTTTTCTTGGTCCCTCAACAGTCTAGTTGTCTCACACACACCTCCCACCAAGCCCAACACACAGTCTACACATGTGAAGCAGTGGCAGTGGTCAACATTCCATAGGAAGCCCATCCTGCCTGTCTCCGACTCCTCACAAAATTACCTGAAAAAAAGGCTTTCAAAAGAACAACAAAAAAAAAAAAAAAAAAAAAAAAAAATAGAAGAAGGCAAAGCAAAGCAAAATTAAGGTAACAAAGAGAGTGGTGGATCTTTAGGTTTTCTTTTATAAAAGACAAATTGTTTATTGATTGAGTCCTTCCACTTGCAACCTCTTTGGTAACAGTCATAACACTTCCAGACTGGGAGAACGCAGTGGAAAGGCCCAGTTCTGACCTCTCACCAGTTTCAGAGCTCAGCAAGCCCCGAGATGTGCCTCGGTGAGAGGCCAGAAGCAGGTTTCAAAGCGTGGCCAAGGATGTGGCCTTGAGGGACAGCCCAGACCAGCCCACCCTACCGTGACTCACTGAACTCGTGGGTGGCCCAGAGAGCAGCCCCGGCACCCCCAGGCAGAAGACGGCTCAGGATGGGAATGGCTGGCTCTGAGCCGTGCCCTGGAAGGTGGTTTTGATGAACCTCTTGGGACCTCCTGGACATTGGCCAGCGGGGCCCTCAATGAAGCAAGACTCGCCCGTTCCTGCGGTAGACAACGCCTCGCCTCAGCTGGCCCCGCGGTGATGGACTGATCCGACCACCTCAGCCTCCCCCTCCTCACACCATCCCAAAGAGAGTAATTGCTGTACTTGGAGTTAAAGATAAACATATATTGATTACACATGGTCATTAAAAAAAAAAAGAATAATAATAATAATAATAATAATACATTTCCTAGAACATTAATTAAGACGCTTCCGAAAAGCATCCGAGCTTCCCCTCCCCTCCCCGCCTTCCCTTATCTATACAGAATAAAGTGCTTCATTTAGTTTGTTCACACTAGTAGAGCCACCAATACACTCTTTAACTTGGCATGTTTGGGCAACCGATACTGAATGCCGGAAAATAATACAGAGCCAAACACCAGGCATGAGAAACTAGTTTTGAGGCAAGTGCTTGGGGTTTCATTCGTTTCCTTCAAGTTCCATGCTACTGAGGTTGTTCTCATTCCTATTTTTTAGCCTTTTTTTTTTCTTCCTTTTTTTTTTTTTTTAACTATTATTTTCTTCCTTTGCAAGTCCGACCCAACTCCCGTCGTGGTTCCGTGTCACCGGGCAGGGCTGCGTGTGGGGAAGCTCTCGCCGTCCGTGCGAACAAGAGGCGTCTGTCTGTCTGTCCTTCCCTCCCTCCCAGCTTCGGGCAAACCAAGAGTTCACTCAGTGGAGTTGTCTAGCAGCGGATGCTCATCTCTATTGCACTGTCACAGCCATTCCCACCCGTCCGTCCGTCTGTCCGTCCGTCCCACCGCGCCGGGGTTATGGCTGTGGTCCGTAGGGCCAGCTGCGCCTCACGGGGGTGTGAGGACAACTGGTCTGTGCTACCAGGCTCCTGGGATACATAAAACCAAAAACAAAAAAAAAAGGGCCCTCCCCACACGACTCCCTCCCTCCCCAAAAGTTCAAATGAAGTGGTGAGAGGGGAAAAAAAGAAAAAACAAGGAGTCATTGGCTGGACATTGCGTTTGCGGCGTGTCCGTGAACTGCGCCGTGGAAAACAAGCCCCTCTCCGCCCTCGCGGTCTTGCCGGAGAAGGGGTGTGAGAGATTAAGGTGCAAGAGTTAAAAATTAAAGTAAAAATAAAAAAAAAGAATTAAAAAAAAAAAATTAAAGTAAAACGTAAAAAGCTTGAAAGCGACGGACCCGACTCCTCTGCCTCCTGCCCCATCCAGGCCCAGCTGGTGCAACAGGGCTGGCCGGGATGGATCCGGGATGGATCCGGGATGGATCCGGGATGGACGAGGCACTGCAGGAGCGACTCGTCTGAGCTCTTAGTACTCTAATGAAAACCAGACATGGAGACACACTGGGGCTGAGTAAGGGTGTAGACAAAAGGGCTCAGAGGCCTTGTAGGACTCCTGGGAACTGCCCGGGCCTTGGAGAGGGGAGGGAGCAGCAGGGATCTGGTTCTCCAAAGTGCTGTGTGCATGGTCACATCTCGACGTCTCCAAGTGGCTCTCGAAGGGGATGGGGCATGGCTGGGATCAGTCACTGGGCTCTCTGCTGGGCTTCCACCCTCAGTGAAGTGCTCTCGTCTCACAGAGATGTCCAAGGGGGGCAGGTCCTCACTGGGAGAGGATGAACTGGGGCAGGAACAGGGAAAGCCACCTCCAGGCGAGTGGTACAAGGGAGTAGATGTTGGCGTGGGTGTTTACTTGGGGGGGAGAAGTCTATCAGCCAGGCAGCCCATCCAAACCCTCAGGGCAGAGTGCTCCCACCCTATCTCAAGGTTGAGCATGAGGGGAAAGAGGCACAGGGAAGCCTAAGGGGGATCTGGGAGGCAGTAGAGGAGAAGACAGCATGGACCACTCCAACACCTGCACAGGTATCACTGAATGCTTCTCTAAAACAATCATCTCCCTGTCTGGATCGTGGTCCCTTCAGAAAACCAACGGCCCCAAGAACTGAGTGCCCCCATTCCTCATGGGTCTGTGTTTGAGAAGGCTTTGCACCATTCCAAGGAGCCACAGGGTTATGGAGGACAGCAGGGAAGCCTCTGGAACCCACTGAGAAGGTCAATATGGAGAAGCAGCTCTGCCATGGCAACCTCCTTTTGCTTGAACCAGATGGAGATGGGGGTGAGCT